TTTCTATGATTCTTCTTGAACTGTATTTAATTTGTTTTAATTCATATTATTATGGGGGCTGCCATATTGACTGCTCGCTCTTTGATTGTGCGGTTTGATTTTGACTAGGATCATGTATTTTGGTTGTAAATTGGAGCTTTTTCCCAGAAATTGAAACACATTGTGTTGTAGAACAGCCGCTCAAACGGAATCTTACTTGATCTATCCAGAAAGGATAGAATAACACTTACTTTTTGTTGTTTTCGATTGAATATTTTGGTATCAATTGTTGGTTGAATGATTGGGTGGTAATATTTGTTTAGAATCATTATTACCCCAAAATACCTTGTTCTGATTTCGACTGGGGTTTGCTGGTTTCTACACTTTGCTAACCAGTTGTTCATCAATCCTAACCTAGTTGGATCTTACAGTGAATTTATTCGGAACCTCAATAGTAGATGATGAATCATTGGGATAATGAGTATCTATGAAAATTGTATTGGATTCTTGATTATCATTTATTGCATCCGACATTTTTCTACCATTTTTATGCGAGATCGCATCAGGAATATGTGAATCATCAAAATAATCGAAATCTGGCAGAACAATTAGGGAATCTTGATCATTAGAAACTTTTTTGCATCATGACTAGTTTCATTTGGCGCAACTGTACTTGCTTTACTGTTTGATTTGTATCCCGTTCCTTCGTGGTTGGGTACTGCAGCAATTTCATGAGCATTTAGCAAGAGATTGTCTTTCTGTGAACAGGATATCCACTGTTTACACGTCCTTATTCGGGGATAATTGGATTTGGACCGTTTATAGGGCATGTTTCTGAAACAGGCAGTACTGGACTACTGGGCTGATCATGTATGACTGCTACTGTTGCGCTTAAATTACTGTTTTTTAAGGATTTATTGAGGCTTTCCCCGGCATATTCATTCGTCGTGCAATCGATTTACAGCTCTGTACGCCATTAAGAATTTAATGCGTCAACTTCCGTTGTACCCCGAAAGCATGGGTGATTCAGCAGCTTTGCGTGTAACTTGTGAACGAATTTTTACTGACTCTTTCTAAAACGCTGCTCGTGTCTCTGGAATAGCAACTGTAATTGATCGGAACTTAGAACAAATTTTTATTTACCCCGTCGTCAGTTGTTACATCGTATGAGTGCGACAAACAGTCAACCACTATTTTAAATCAAACTTTCATTCTGTCTTACATTGTTATTAATGTTACATTGCTCCATCCTCCTTGAAGCGCTGTCTTCAATCTTTTCAATATTTTTCTTTTCCTTTTTGAGGTGAAAAAAGCAACAGCTCAAAAGAAGCATAGTCATATTTCAACAGAAACACAGTAGTAGTTTAACAGTAACACCGAAATGAACAACAATATAGGAACACAAAACGTAACAAGAAGTCATAACAACTTACATAAGCCGGTTACCACTCGTTATGGGGGGAAATAGGTCCCCCACCAGCACTCACTATCTAACCCTGCCCTCAAAAATCCTTTCGGGTTTTTTCCAGCTATCATTCATCATTTTCATGTCTGCTTCCGATTCCCGATACCATATGTCCTTTGGCCTTTCTCCTTTCCGTTTCCATACAAGATTCCAAGTTAGGGCTTACCTTGTGATGCCGTTTGGTGATTTCCTCAATGTATGTCCTATCCACTTCAACGTCTTTTCCTAATTTCCTCCTTAGCTGGAAGCTGGTTTGTCCTCTCCTACAGTAGGCTGTTTCTGATGGTATGCGGCCAACAGATATCGAGTATCTTGCGTAGACAACTATTTATAAATACTTATACCTTCTTGATGATGGTTGTAGTAGTTCCCCACGTTTCAGTTCCATACATTAGAACTGTCTTGACGTTCGTATTGAAGATTGTCACTTTGATATTGGTTGACAGTTATTTTGAGTTCTATATATTCTTCAATTGTAGGAATGTGGCCCTTCCTTTGACAATCCTCACCTTTACGTCTGCATCAGATACGCCTTGTTCATCGATGATGCTTCCCAGATATATGAAGGATTCCACATCTTCCAGAGCCTCTCCATCAAGTGTGATTGATTTAGTATTCTTCGTGTTGTATTTGCGGATGTCGCTTTTTCTTTTGCGCATGTTGAGGTCTGCTGATGCGAGACTGCCGCTACACTAGTTGTCTTCATCTGCATTTGTTCGTGTGTATGGGATAGAAAGGCCAGATCATCTGCGAAGTACAAATCGTCTAATTGATTGAGAACTGTCCATTGCATTCAGTGCTTTACCTTGGATGTTCAGGGTCTTCATAGTTCATTCGACCACCAGAAGAAAGAGGAAGGGGGAGAGTAGACAGCTTTGTCTGACTCCGGCCATTGCTTGAAACGCATCTGACGTCTGTCTTCCATGCTTGGATTTGCACTGCAGCAAGTCACAACACGATAAAATCAAATTTTCATTTCACTTTGGTATCTGTATAAAATATTGGAAAAAATTATTAGAACAATCTATCTAACAAATAACTTTGATGTAAGCTAAAGTGGACCATACATCATTTATAGTCATATGCTAACTTTAGACGATTTTAGTGAACTATCATAAGTAAACGAGAACAGACTCTGGTGTATTTTGTTTCGCTCCTAGAATATGTTAAGAGTCCGACTACTTCATAAACAAGTATATATTCTTTGTGTATTTCACCTAATGTCCCTCCTCTCGTTAGGTTTCCTTTTTTTGACAATACTGGTTTTGAGGGCGCTCCATGACCCTTTTTATCATGATATTCATTGTGATGTTTCCTTGCCAGACCCAACTTAACTCGAGCCTTATTATAATTCCTTGATATATCCTTCTAGAGCTTCGCGACCATTTGTAATAATAACAAAGGTCCCTAATGCATTGGTGATGTCAGTAACTTGGTTTGAACATTCATATCCCTACATGTGCATAATAACTGAGGCGTATGTCCAGTAGACGTATGGATGCTACCGCAATATCCCAGCAAACATCTATTTATTGCCTAATCCAACGACCTAGATTACTTTCTATTAACAGACGTTCTCAGCAACGTTTTGAGATTGCGACTGATTCGTTAGACAAGCCTGTTGTCAGTTTGCCTTTTTGCGTTTTTCCCACATTTGACATACCTCTTCAAATTTAGTACCTCTACACGAGTGTGACTGAACTGTTGCATACTAACAAGCGACTCGATTTTAAAATACCACTCTAGCTACAATTTGGACATCCATACTTTCTAGAATTATCGCTTCACAGCACTTAGTAATGCGACCGAGTATGAATAAAATATACTTCTTTCCCCCATTGGTTTATTGCACTGACCCACTGATGCCGATCCCCACTATCTAGTTAGACTAGCTTGGTTTCATATTCACAAAGGATAGGTTCGAGTTGCCTTTTGAGCTCTTAATCATTTAACAAGCCTCACAAGCTCTGACATAATTCCATGTTTTCCCTTTGCTTTGGCCACAATTTCTTACACATGTTAAAACTATTTCTTTTCCGTCAGAAGGAACTTGTGATAATGCAACGCTGATAGCATGGTTATCTGCCTCAGTGTATAATATAAAATGAACAGCCGTAAGTGGACAGTCTAGATATGCTACAATGGGCGTTGAACATAACAACGCTTTTGATCCATCGGAAGATTGTTGGCACTTGGCGGCTTATTCAAAGTTAACTTTCTTTCCTAAAAAGACATGAAGACAAACTGCGATCTATGAAAATCATTGGACAAACCATCTACAATAAGTTACTAAACTTAGGAAGATGCCTAGTCTATTAGCTTTTTCTGGGACAACCTAGTTTTCGACGATATCGACGTTTTCGCTATTTGAATGCATTCCTTGACTATCAACGACGTGACCTAAGTATTTAATTCCCTTTCCTTACAGGCAATATTTTGACGGTTGCACTTTCAAACCGAATTATCAAAGGCGTTCTAGAACTATGTGTAAATTTTCCAAGTTTTCGTAAACAGTCGCTACATGTTTCGTGACTTCATCCAAATACACTGAACATGCATGCGGGGTCAGCTCAGATAGTGTTGCATGCATTAATCGTTTGGAAGTAGAAGCAGGGTTAGTTATCCCAGATAACACAAAGTGAGACTCAAATAGATTAAATGGTATGGCATAAGCATATAATAGGAAATATAATGCCTATACTAAACAAGGAATTAAATGAATACTTGAACTCTATTGTCTTGACATATAGTTGGTTGTTTCAGGTCAACTCTTAACTAATCAACCTAAGCTATTGCAAGTTCATGCCTTTAATAAAGCAATTAAGAACAATCATCTTGAGTTCATCTACTAAATATTTTGAAAATGCTGCAGCTGCCAGTTGTTGAAGACGTTAGACGAAGACAGCCGACTTTTTCCCTTAATTTTGGAGAAATTCCTTTCTTATCAAAACAGGATGATTTGAAAGTCAAAATACTGTTCGCATTGCAGAAAAAGGACCACTTAAGCCGTCTGTCTGCAGAATCATAATATCTGATATCCTTAGTTCCTTTAACGCTTAAAAATGAGGGAACGTGGATCCAAGTATGTCGGTTGCTGGCAGATTCATCAAGTATTGACGACATCCTGGTTCCTGAAGAGCAAACGATTCTCTCGGACCATATTCCTTCGATGTTTGGCTTCGTGGTTCGGTTGACTTTATTTTAAGTACTGATATTGTTTCACATAGTTTTGTTCAATAGTACCAGATTCTTTTGCTTATGTATTAGATTTAGATTTAAAGATTAAATCCATTTCTGCTGTTTGGGTATGTGAAGATTCTAAGCCTTTGAATACAGGCCGATTGAATATGAAATGAGTAACTCGATCAGTCTTCTGAAATCGCAATTGAAGTAAATCCTCCTCTTCATAAATTATCAACTCAGTTTCCAGTTTAAATGATAGATCCGACTAACCAATCAGTCAGTTGTTGCAAATCAAACTCCGATTCTATTATACAATGTTGTCAACGTTAGAGAACACGGTGAGTGCAGACATAAGATATTGGAACCCTGTTATGGCAGAGTGTCCTTCGAAATTCGTATGAACGCGGGGCTTCAATTCCAAGTGGATGTGTGGTTCCTGCGTTTACCGGTAATTATTCAACTGTTGTATGACTTTTTCTTCCCTCTCTTGAATAAAAATACAGTTCCGGGCCTGATATTGGTCAAAATTGTTTTCGTCAAGAAGGACTTGTTCGGAATATTAATTTTGTTCTGTCCAGTTCACCACCCATCACAGCTTCGTAGACTATTTTGCTCTTTTTTCAGACCTATGATAGCATCTCAACATAAAAGAACGACTTTCTTGCACTTGAATATTTTTTATGGATGTTCTTCGGACAGGTTGAGTCCAAGACGTTTTAAATCTTTGTCCATTTGTATCCAAGTAATTTATGTCTACGTGTTTGTACTAAGTTGCGTTAGCATAGTTTGTCTTCTGGCATTAGGTAAATACAGTAAACACTTAGCATTTAACTCTACGCATTTATTGATTTCAATCTATTTGTTGGTTTAGTGTAACAGCACTTAGTATTAGGCTTTTGAAATGCATGTGGCTGGTATGGGCCTGTCATGCCTTCCATGTATAATAAATAATGAAATATACTAATTCCTTGTGATGCTTCTTATCTACTACATTTGATCTTATTTAATCCCTACGTTCTGATTAATAATTAAGTATGTACATAAATGAGATGATTACAGGTCATGAAGCTTCACTGTTATAAGTTACTATAGAAACAAAATATGTATGTGGCATTTAAGCCGTATGTTCTAGTTGACGAGACTAATGTATTGGCGGACGGATAATCGATAGTAGGTCTTTGCCTTTTGCGCCAAACTCATCCAAATGGCTAGACAGTTTTTTTGGCATTATAGCTTATGTCAGTTCGGAACGTCCAACCGTAAATCCTCATTTCTCACACTAGTTTATAACCGTCATTTGACCCTTATTTATTTATTTGCTTTATTCGAACACATATTGGTACGAAGGGGCACCGAATACATAAGCACCACACAAGTCACTTGGTTTGTGTGCGGGCTGTGACACTGCTCGGGTGCCCAGACCGAAGCAGATGTTTCACTTAACGGGGCCTTCAACTGAAACGTCTAATCCACAAGACAGTGGAGCAACGTTAGAAGATGCAGTCTCATAGTAACCAGTGACCAACAATAGGTTCATAAGCCATTTGTTCCCTCAGGATCCTGGAGCCCATGCTCACCATCATTTCAGAATGAGGATTTTCCAACTCCCCTTGATGAGTCCTCTATATTCACTAACCCGAGTATTCGCTTTACGTTCTCTCAATTTCGTAAACAACACTCCTGGAGCGAAGAAGCAGTGAGTAGGACTTGCGTGTCTGTGTCTAAATACGCGTGGCTACATGAGATCATTGTGGAGGGACAGTTAACTCCCTCACCCTCGACCGTATCAGGGAATTTTGGGGGCCATTTAACCCTGTGGAGTCGGACATTCTCAAGCTCACTTAAGAGTCGCTCGAAGGTCGATAAATTGTCACCGAAAACTCAGCTATTAATGAAGTCACTCCATTTTCATGTATGGAGGCAACTAAGTAGACGAATCAGTTCATGGGCCACTAAATATAGCACGCCATGTCACATTTCTTGACAGACCAAATCCTAGTGTTTTTACGTAAAATATTCGATTGGTTGATCATTATCCTTTGATAATTAATCCACCTGACGGTTTCATTACATTTAAGTTATCAGCAAAAGGTTATCAATTATTCTCATCTGTATGTTGTCTTCCGTTGGATCATTATGAGAATTCCGCATTACCTTTCCAAGCTTTGTAAATTCGATTGATATTTCGTCTCAACACCAGACTAACTTCAATTGTGTGCAGGACAGCATATCCATAATAAACATAGATAACACAACTGTCCTAGTCGATTTTATCTCCTAATTTGTTTTTTTGTGTGTTAAGTTCGTTTTTTAATCAGAATTAAACTGGTCCATAAATGACGAGCACATCCGAACTCCCTAATGAATGTCCACCAATCATGAATGATGAAGATATTCTTAATGATTGTGGACCTGTGGATATCCCACCACCACCTCCGTTAGCACAGTCTTTAGATGCTAATGGCCCAAGATTAATGATCACTCAAATTGTTACGGAAAATTTCAAATCTTATGGTGGTATGCGAGTTATGGGACCATTCCATAAGAATTTTAGTTGTATTATCGGTAAGTGGATTTGTTTTATTATTTCTGTAATGAAAAACATAACTTCAGGCCCTAATGGAAGCGGTAAAAGTAATGTAATTGATTCAATGCTGTTCGTATTTGGTTATCGGGCATCAAAAGTTCGTTCGAAGAAAATAAGTCAACTTATACACTATAGTGAACTGGTACCTAATGCTACTAGCTGTGAAGTGGCTGTACACTTTCAAAAAATTATTGATCATGGTCCTGGTGCTTCAGATTATGAAGTAAGTTAATGTATGTACTTATGTATCCCCTCAGTTATTCATACCTTTTTATGATCGCCCATCGGATCATTGTGTTTAAAGCTGCTTCATCTTCTTTAGACTGAACATCTAGGTCGTGCCACTAATCCTTATATGCCTTTGTACAAGGAACTGTAATCTCCACAAAATCGTTAATTAAGCACTGTAGCAATTGTTAGAACTAGAAGTTTACTACAACAATAGGATTAAGGTCTTGTACTTATTATTCAAATCAAAAGTGTATTTTCAAGTTACCACGACATCTTATAATACAAAGTAGCAATCAAAATGTTGGTATAATAAACGGATTCTTTGAAGACTATACTTACGTGTGGTTGCTCAAACTCTGGCAAATTAGTTAAGTTTCTGCAACATCAAACTCTTTTGCTTTGTTTTATGAAATGAAATGTTTTTCCTAGCCGCGTTCAGATACCTATCAGTTAGTCATCTACAATGTAGGACCAGGCACATATACATCGGTCAAAGTTGCCACACTCCAATAGCTCAAGATGAACACCGAATTCGTAGATACAGTTACTTCAATGGTAGTAATATATAAAAGAAATATTGTATATAAGGATATAATACAGGAAGAATTAGTTCGCAGAAAGAAAGATATAGAGTAATTTTAATCTCACAGTTTAAGGGGAGACAAATAGTGTATACACCTACGCCATTGTGATGGATTCAGAGCCATATCACCCACAGTCTCCATCCACTGATTACGATAGTCACACGGACCCCAATCAAGTAGTTTGCATCTACCAACATGGTTCGTACCAGAAGTTAATGACTTCAAGGACTGATGCCATGTTTCAGTTTGGCCTCCCCTAACTTTCTCCTCTCCGTCTCCAACACTAGTCAGCATTGCGCGTTGTGGTAATCGGTGTTCAGGCATACATAACACATGGTTCAACCATCTCAGTCGGTGAAGATTTACAAACTCATCAACTGATTTGCCATAATCATCCCCTAATATACTGCATCTAACCTCACTATTACTTACCTGATGATCCCAGCAGATGCGAGCAATTTTTCTAAGACATCTGTGATCGAATACTAGTAACTTACGAGTATCCTTTACCTTTAATGGTCACGTTTCGCAGCCGACCAAACTTTGGTTTTCTCTTCTTAAGTATTTTGTAGTAAAAAGCATTTTCTGTTTTCTAGAAGGGAAATTATGCTTATATAAATATATATAAGTAATTACGTTCAGAGTACTTATATTATCCTGTTTCATGAAAAGATATTGCTTCTTGTGGTAGGTTGTTCCAAATAGTCAGTTTGTTATTTCACGACGAGCATACAAAGATAATTCAAGTTGCTATTTGATTGATGGTACTCGAGCTGTTTATCGTGATGTAGCTAATCTTTTACGCTGTCATGGCGTGGATATTGATCATAATCGATTCCTCATATTACAAGGCGAAGTGGAACAAATTGCTTTGATGAAACCTAAAGCACCAAGTGAACATGAGGATGGATTTCTTGAATACTTAGAGGTAAGCCACTGTCCATATTTTTATTTTGTTTCGTTTATGTTTACGTAACCGCCTTCCTTCCATCTAAGAAAGTAAGGAAACACAAACTGAGAACTTTCTTTACATACAACTCTTAAATGCACTATAAAATTGTTTTTAATGATGACCTACATATTATTTGAAGGTCCATATAAATTTACTACTAATAACTGCTTATCAGTTGCACCTAAGCTTTTTAAATAAGCATGTGCGCACCAAATTATTAAATGGAATTTCCAGTGGTACAGACTGTTTCTGTTTGAGTATAGATTTCATCTTAAAGATGAATACTTTCGTTCTAGTCTTAGTCGTTTCTTGGACCGCATGTCACCTCTTTGCCGTGTGACCGGTGGAAACTGTTGCTGGTACTAAAAAAGGTTTATGTCCATTCTCTAAGTAAAAAATTGTCGGTTTCAACCCGGGAATATTCAAATGTTTTGTCCGTCATAATTAATGGCCCTTCTCATTCGTAGTTCTTTCTTCATATCTTAAGAATCAACCAGATCACCTAGTAGAGAATCTCTGCTCACCATATGTCTTATAGCTTATGATAACATAGGGAACTTTGGCTATATTGTTAAGGTTCTTAACTTTTTATCAACAATCAAGAGTTGAATCCTTATTTTCTTACTTCGATTTCATTTTCTGAGCATTCTTACTTGTTCGTTCAAAAATGTTAGCGAAGATTTGGACACAAACTTCCATACTTTTTATTAAACCTCTCTAGTTACTCAAAAGATGTAAGTTAGCTTGATAAAAATTCTTAGCTGCCTAACTAACACGAAATCTCAGTTCTCGTTACAAGTTTAAGTTCTAGCAGTGTCAAATGAAAATGAGCTAATTTCAAGATATAAAGAGACAAGGTGACCAATAGATTATTGTCTTAAGACACTTCAGTCTTTACACATCCCTTAGGATCCATTGTTAGGCACTACTGAATATGGTCTTAAACACTATGTTAGTGACTCAGTAGGATGTTTCAATTACGTCCTCAAAATCTACTTGACTAAGAAAATACACTTGTGCAATTGAGGGTAGGGAGAGTCCGCTGTTTCTTTTGAGATGCCCTCGTATGGCCACGGATTGTAACTTCTAGCTGCAGGGGTGCTTTTTAAAAAAAGTGAAAGGATGAAAGGCGGATGCCCGGCTTTTAAACCAAGTCTGTAGGTACGGAGGGTTTGTTTAAGAAAGTCCTAAAACTCTGGTCCCATGGGTTTCAAGATCCAGAAAGACCGAATGGCTTATCAATCTATTTTTGGCTACCAGATACCAAGGGACTACATCATCTAATGTCATTCCCCTTTCTAGTAAGTTATTAATTATTTGTTTATTTAAACATAAACGTTGGAACAAGAAGGCACCATATAGATATGTGCCACACTAATCATTCAATTTGTGTGAAGGCTGGGATACTGCCCGGGTGCCCAGACCGAAGTAGGTAGTTAAGAAGATCAAAGAAAAGAGAACAAGAACAATAAATGATTGATATAAAATCAAAAGAACAATGAAGTCTGAGACGATTGACTGATATTTGCAAAAGGAATAGTCAAGTTTAAGACAATTGATTAACATTTCGCTAATGAAATTTTTTACTATGTGGTTCTTAGATTTTACCAAGACGTCTTGTAATTTTGTATTGAAATACATTCGATCGTCTCCATTTGTGTTCTCGTTCGCTACAATACCAATGTGATAGGTATGACAACTTTGACTATGGTATATATTGTACGTAATCGTTTGTGTTGATACCTACTAAGAACAAACTATCGACAATTAGAGATCATCTTGTCTTGGCTTTAAGATTATTATTATTATTATTATCATGATTGTACTCGCTTCGGTGGTACATATACTAAAATTGAAACGATACAGAGAATATTGGCATGGCCCCTGCGCAAGGATGACACGCAAAATCGTGAAGCGTTCTATATTTTTTCCCGACCGTTGCTGCTACCTTGACGTGGTGGTCGGGCTTGCCTACCATGATGAACCAATCGAGCTATACTGGCTGGAACAATCGTTCCTCAAGGTCCTACCATGCCAGACAGGTCGGTTGAAGAGCAGTAAGACTAAAAGCAGCAAACCCAAGGTCCGAAGGCGAAGTCGTACTGCTGACTGTACAGAGGTGTGACAGCAGTAAGGTGTTTCCTTCGAACAACCAGCATAACAGCGATGCTGCCTTCCCACAAGGAGGGTTGGGGTTGGAAAATGTCAACATTATAAATGCACACCTCGCCTTATCCCGTGAATATCTGTCTCCGGCGGTAAGGTCCTTTGAAGAACGGAGCTAACACAAAAACTACCCACAAAAAGGTGTGTGACCGACCTCAAGCAGTTGTCCCTTGGGTACTGTGGTTACGCTCTCAGGTCATTAAGACCACTTCTAACTCAATTTCCTTTTCAGGTACCTCTAGAAGAACGTTTCTTTGGTGTGAGCAACCGGGAAGTGATAACTGCCCTCATACCTCTAACAGCACTCAAGACTGACTGATTATTATTATTATTATTCGTTCTCTTTTTTTGTTCATTCAATTCCTATAGGATATCATTGGTTCATCAAGATTTAAACAACCATTAAATATATTTATAAATCGTATTGAAAAATTGAATGATTTACGTTTGGAAAAACTTTCACGTGTTAAAGCAGTTGAAAAAGAAAAAGATGAATTAGAAAATGTCCGTAATGAAGCAATAGATTATTTACGTTTAGTTAATCAATTAATACAAATGAAAAATGTATTATATCAACAAAATTTATATAGAGAATCTAATCAAGTTAAAGTAGTTAAAGAGAAATTAATGAATGCACAAAAAGAAACTGAGGTAATTGATGTAATAATATGATGAATGATATACAATATTGTTATGTAATTTCTTAATTATGATGATGTCAGTTAGTCAGTCACAACGTAGAACTTCGTACGTACGTATATCAGTTCGAGTTGCCATACCACATTAACACCCCTAAATGCCCTGGTACGGCCGAGAATGGGGAGAGTCCGCTCTCCCTCTCGAAATGCTCTCACATGGCCACGCGTAATATAGCCTCTGCCAGGGAAGTTCGATTCACTGCCCTCTCGTGGCGAGGGTGTTGTTAACGAAATTGAGAGGACGAAAAGCGAATGTCCGACGGTCTAACCGTGTTGGTGGACACGGAAAGTCCACCTAGGGAAGTGGGAAAACCCTGATTCCAAACCAATGGTGCACATGGACTCCAGTATCCTGAGGGAACAAATGGCATATGAATGAATCATTGGTCACCGGCTACCATTGGACTGCATCTCCTTACGATGCTTCACTGCCTTGTGGATTGGACCTTTAGGTTGAAGGCTCCTGGTGTTGCCCCCTAAGAAAACCACCTGCTTTGGTTTGGGCACCCGGGCAGTATGATAGCGCTCACACGAATCAAATGAGATTTGTGTGGCGCATATATATCTGGTGCTTACTTGTGCCAATATTTATGTGTTTAAATAAATAAAGAGATGAAGTTGTCAATTCAAATCCCATAGTGGTAGAAGTAGTAAGAGTATAAGCATTATGTGAAAGATTAGAGTTTGAAGATGTTATTCAAGGAGTATAATCCAGTGAAATAAATTCGGAAAGAGAAAAAGGATAGGGACATGAGGAATTCAGAAGATTGGAATTGGGTTCGAAGATAAAGAGTGGATGCATCTGAGTCATTGTAAACGATTTTGAGCCATGTCATTGAAGTTCTTTAACCATCGATTGCTTTCATCTCGCGGATCCCAACTAGGTAGTCTACACCTACCAGCATGGCTCAGTCCACTTGTCAGTGACTTCATGAATTTGTGCCACTTAACTAATTTAAGTAAGTCAGTCAGTCAGTCAGCTACAACGTAGGACCAGGCACATATATGCAACGGTCCAAGTTTCCATACCTCGTTAGCACAACAAGACCGGATTCATAGAAGTAATTAATTTAGTGGTGGTAGTATATCAAGAAAGGTTGTATATAAGGATATAGTACGGGAAGGAAGAGAGATATGAAGCAATTTTAATCTCAAGGTTTAAGGGAAGATAAAGAGTGTATACACCTACGCCATTGTGATCGATTCTGAGCCATGTCACACAGTCTCCAACCATTGGTTACGATAGTCACACGGACCCCAACCAGGTAGTCTGCATCTACCAACATGGCTCAGACTGGAATTTAGTAAGTAAGACAAACCAGATTTAATAAGAAGCTTACTTTAACCAGGCCAGATCGAAGTATCTTCACAAACTCACACCTTAATATAGATAGTGTCCCTTAAAACGTTAAACGCGACTTAAAACTAATGGCTTATGTCTATCTTCCTCTAGAAATTAAGTCAAATCATTACTAACAGTGTTCACAGCACTACTGAACAGACGTTTTATCCTAAAATAGGACTCCACAGAAATGTGCCTCCATAATCCTCTCGAACCCACAATCTTAAAGTCTCATGGCGAGCATATGTTTTCACTACTTCAATGGTTAAGTGCTTAATGTCTAGTGAGTAGGGCATCTTTATTAGGTTCTACGTCTTATGTTTTTTGGTAATTATAATAATCGAAAGAAATGTTTTTCTGATAGTTTTACAGAGTCCAATATCTAAGTTAATTAATTGTTATTATTATGAGTTATAATTGTATTTTGTCATAAAGCTACGATGGTATTAACCACCGATGTTTTTCATATTTTCACATATGTTTTTATGTAGAATTTATCAAGTCAGGTACGTGAGAAAACTCAACAAATTACACGATTAGAATCTGATCGTGATGAACTGACTCAACGTCATGCTCAATTACAAATAAGACAACGTGATGGAAAAGCAAAATTTGCTGAATTTGAAGCTCAGGATGGACAATTGCGTGATGAACATGCACATACAAAAACTTCAGCACGTCGTTTAGCTAAAGCAATTCAAGCAGAACGAACTAAGTTAGAAGAGCTAGAACGATTACCTGGAGAAGCGGATGCTCGTCGTGAAGAAATCAAGAAACAATTAGCAGAATATGAAGAAGCTAAAAAGAAACATGAAGAAGTTTATAAGGTCCGTTTTTTTTCAAGCTGGAACTGTTTTCTAGTTGTAGTTGAACACTACCATCCATTATTAATGTTTCTTTTTCTTTAGAAGTGATTAGCTAAATACTCATACATTTTAGTAATAGTTACCGCTTTCAAGGAGGCAATATGTAAAGTTTTTCCAGTCTCATTATTTTTTTATACTTCATTGTTACGTCTTTGTCACCTCGTAAATATTTCCACAGTTCCAATAAGGTGTCTCCTTTTTCGTCAGTAAACAGATATCAATTTCCCGTTTTATTCGTTAACATTATGATCTCGGGTACTGTTTGATGTATGAGTGAAGTTACCATTTCGCGGCTCCCGTACACTGTGAAACGATACTTATTCAGGGACCTGAAAAGGAAACTGAATTAATAGATATCTTAAGGACCTAGAAGCGCGATCGCAAAGGCCAGGGGATATCTAATTGAGGCTGATCACACGCGTCATTTGTTGTGTGTTTTACTAATAGTTAGCCTCGTCTTTAAATCCCTTACTTCCTGAAACTAAAATCTATGGGTTAAGGTAGGGTATGATATTTTTAGGGCAAATCTTTTTCAATCTCTTCCATTGTTGGGAGGCTGCATTGCTGCGGACCGTGTTCATATAAAAGAAGCACCTTACTACCATCAAACCCTTGTACAATCGACAGTATCATTTCACTCTTGAACCTCAAGTTGCTGCTTTTAGTCTTACCATTCACCAACTGACCTACTTGGCGTGGTATAGTACCTACAGCAAATGTAGATCCATTGGGTCATCACGATTAGCAAGCTCGTCCACCACATCTAGGTAACGTCTACAGTCAAGTAATCAAGTTTTTAAATATACATAAATATCAAAGATCAGTTTATAACGTTCTTCATCCTTGGACATACTCAAATATAACTGTCCTAAAATTGTTGTTTTCTCTTCGGTAAACTATCTTAGGACTCATTATCCTTTATAAAACTTCTTGCGTTTTATGACTAAATCAATTCCTGTTTTAGGACGGTTTTTTCTCTTGTTTTCATAATTTCATGTTATGCAATATGATTGTTATTTCAAATTGTTTATTGGTTTAGGAAACAGCTGATAATCTGTCTAAAGAATCTGCACCTTTACGAATTCAAGTTGAAGAAAGTGAATCCGCATTGGCTCCTTTACAAACAGAAGCTGATCAAATTACAAGTAAACTAACATTGGAACGTCAACAATATGATCTAATGATGGCTGGTCAACGAAGAGAATTAGAACGTATGGAAACAGCAAAGAAAAGTATGCAATTAACTCAAAGTAAACTTAAAGAAAGAGAACAAGAATTGGCTGATGCAAAAAAACACTTATCATCTTCGGGAAGTGCAGGGAATAAAGGCAATTTAGAGATGGCCTTAGCATCAGCTACACGTGATCTGGCCGAAGTGAAAACACATGAAGCTGATCTGACAAAAGAACTCAATGATTTACGTAGCAAATTGACAGAGTCGAAATCAGCTCTTCAGGTAAAAGGAAAAACAAAACAATTTCCATTATGGTCACAATAAGTTGGATTACGATTCTTTGTTGTTAATTTTTATAAACTGTATATAGTCGATAGAAATCGTAGTTTTGACTGAACATGACCAAAGTGATGTAATCGTATTCAGAGTATTGTAATTCTCAAAATTTCCAACTTTGCTTCATTAGTATGTGTTATAATATCGTTCATTCATATCAGTCAGTATTTTTCTTTTCACAGCTCTGTTACTAGTTTAAAAGCGACGCTTAAGTGCCCGCCTACTAACTAGGACTAAGTGAAGGTTGTAAACCAGTGCGAGGAATTAGGATCATGATTTACAGTTGATGGTTAGGGTTAGGGATTAAATTCAAGGTTTTCACCACGAACTGACATAAGCAGTAATGCCAAAACGGTATTTAGCCAAATTGATTAGTGGATTTCGCTCAAAAGTCCAAGACCTGATATCCTAAATCTGATTGACTTGTCCGTAAATCATAGTCTCGCCGTTTTAAACTAAAAGCAAACTTTCAATCTCAGAATTTCGGTTTCCGACTGTTGGCCATCATCATAGAGTTTCTTATAATGAGCTTTGTATAGCCGTATTACCTAATAAATCTAGCGACCCTCCCATCTCATTTCAATATTGTTGTTCTGAATGGGTCTCCATACTTTAAGCGTAGTCATCTATACGTTGTAATTTATTACTTTTTTTTTCTCAACGAAGCACGTACTACTCATATTTATAAATTTGACTTGATATGTCTATTCAAACTCTACTACTATCGTGTTTTGAATTTCATTGATGTAATTCATCTTGCTATCAGAATACATACAACTTGATCCCTTTAGATTTAAACTTAAGTTTTTATGTATTGGTACGGCTTGTAGTGTGGAAAGTCAGCTCTCCCTCTAGAGATATTCTCACATGACCACACGTATACAGCTACTGCTAGAGAAGTCCTACTCACTGTTTTCTCGAGGCATTATTGTTGTTTACGAAATTGAGAGGACGAAAAGCGAATGTCCAGCGCTCTAACCGGGTTGGTGAATATAGGAGATTCATCTAGGGGAGTTGGAAAACCTTGATTCCAAACTAATGGTGTACATGGGCTCCAGGATCCCAAAAGGGATAAGTGTCATATGAACGTATTGTTGGTCATCGACTACCATGGGACTGCATCTCCTAACGTTGCTCCACTGTCTTGTGGATCAGACCTTTAAGTCAAAGGTTCTCTTAAAAAAACCACCTACTTCGGTTTGGGCACCCGACCAGTATCCAAACTCACACAAATCGAATAATGAAGTGTGGTGCATTAAAATGCTATAAATATCATTGACTTTCTACACTATGTGTTATGTTGATCATCTTGAATGATTAAAAGTTCTGTATTGTCGTTGACCTTTTTATTCGCTTGGCTTTAACATTTTCTCTATTACTTCTTTTTCCTAACAAACAGGCGGATAATTCAAGAAATCGTATGTTGAATGCTTTACTTGAAGCAAAACGTTCTGGAACATTGCCTGGAATTCTTGGTAGACTTGGTGATTTAGGTGCAATTTCATCACGTTATGATATTGCAATTTCAACAGCTTGTGGAGCTTTAGATCATATTGTCACAGATACCATGGATACAGCTCAGAAAGCGGTGAATTTTCTAAAACAGAATAATCTTGGACAAACTACTTTTATAGGTAATACTGACTGATTTTTTGAAATTCTTGACATTTTATTTAATATTCATTTATTTATTCAAACATACAAACGTGGTACAAGGAGGATATATATATATATATATATATATATATATATATATATATATATATATATATATATGGACCACAGTTCATTATTCGATTTGTGTGAGTTTGGATACTGGTCGGGTGTCCAAACCGAAGTAGGTGGTTTTTTTAGGAGAACCTTTGGCTGAAAGGTCTAATCCACAAGGCAGTGGAGCAACGTTAGGAGATGCAGCCCCATGGTAGTCGATGACCAACAATACGTTCATATGACACATGTCCCTTTTGGGATCCTGGAGCCCATGTTCACCATTGGTTTGGAATCAGGGTATTCCAACTTCCCTAGATGGATTCCCTATATTGACTAACCCGGTTAGAACCCCTGCCGGGCATTCCCTTTTCGTCCTCTCAATTTTGTAAACAACACCCCTGGTGCGAGAAGGCAGTGAGTAGGACTTCTCTGGCAGTGGCTGTATACGTGTGGCCATGTACACACGCGTTGTTTACTCACACTCCCTCTCCTGTTAATTCAATAAACATTCAATGATCAAGCGTATACCATAAAGTTGTTTTACTTGCTGAATATAAAATAGATTTAGTTACATAGTCTGTCTAGACTTGATTTTCAATAGTTTTACTGTTAACATTCAATCACTAACTGGTATCTCAGTTGTATTTTATCATTATTTGTGCTGATATAGCGTCTAGTTCATAGGAGTGGGCGTAAGGCGCTCAAGAAATTCATCTTTTCATTGTAATGACTAATTCAATACAACTTTTGTTCAAATAAATGATAAATTCTCGCTTTACATGATAAACTATAGTTCAGTATTATAGGTAGATTCCCGTATTCTTAAGCTCTGTGTAACCTACCCTGTTTAGTATATTGTCTAAATAATCATGGTGTCACAGAAAGTATATAAAAGGTTCCTATATCATGATAAATTACTTAGGTCTGTATTATGTAATCTCTGTCTATTGAATTGCAATTCCGACCCCTTCCCCCTCCCTGTATTAGATTCAATGGAATAACACATCCGACATCCATCACAGTCAAAAGACTTTCTTAGCTTTTTAGTATGTTTATATATAACTATGTGCATAAATAATAAAATATTTCTATAATATCGACCAATTAACTTAGGGTAAGAATAACTCATATTCAAGGTGATAAACTCAACAATGAAAACAGTCATCTCTCTCAACACAGATATGCACGAAAAAAAATCTAAACCATTTCAATAAGATTAGACAGATACAAAGTGTACATCATCAACCGTTAAGAGAATAGAATTAGTTCACAACTAATCGATAAAATATAAGAAATTATTACAAAAGTATACCATTGAGAAAAGAACTGGTCACTTGTGTATCAATCAGTCACAGCGTATAACTTTGTATGTACGTACATCAGTTCGAGTTGCCATACCACATTAGCACAGAGATGCACTTGTGTGTAATGCACTATGTACTTATTGCACAAATTTTACACTATTCTCATACTTCAATTATAATGATGGTGTGAGTATCATAAGATTCGATCTTATCAAATTGCACTAAAGATGAATTTGAATCATCAATTAACATGGTTGTATTAGAAAGATTTCTCTGTAAAAATGTGTCAATCCTATTTAGCTGATGTAATTGTACATCAAATGATTTGTTATTATTATTGATACATAAAAGTGAAAATGTGAGTCAATTGAAGCTAGACCACCAGGAAAAACCTGGAAGCACTGGACGGCCGTTTCGCCTTATCGTGGAACTCCTCAACAGTGCGCATCCACGACCTCGCCTCTCAAGGTTTTCGAACCCAGGACCTACCAGTATCGCGCCAGAGCACTTAACCGATAGACCACTGAGTCAGCATCCGATGGTATTTATGTCTAACTCCAACCAATCCTCGAAGTTGAGCAACCGTTCACCAATTGTATTTAGTGAGTTGATATCTCACAACAGACGTGGTTTGAACTCCACTGGTCACTGCTTCTCACTAGAACTCCTGGATTTACCTCTCGAAGTCAGGACGAAATGGCCTTCCAGTGCTTCCAGGTTTTCCCTGGCGGTCTAGCTTCAATTGGCTCACGCTTTCAAATATGAAAATACCAAATCTCCACAAAACCCCTTCTGATAACATAAAAGTGAATTATTCTTTTGAGTTATTAAGAAAAGTTCGGATGAATGGGCTTCAGTTAGTCAAACAAAGTTATATAAAAGTTTATAAAGAATAAATTAAACAAAAATTACGTAAAATCGTGAACTGATCTACGTTAGATAATCGTTGAAAATCCGGACGCCTATTTCGTCCTAGTTCAGGGCTTCTCAACAGAGTGCATCCACAACCACGTGACAAAGAGTGGAATCCAGGACTCTCAGTTTCACACGCGGACGCTTAACCTTGAGATCAAATGTAGTGGGTTCGATTTCCATTATCAAGTTCGTGAGTCCACATTATTTAGGAGTCTCATAATAGGATAAAACGACCATCTGATGCTTCTCAGTTTTCAGTGGTCGTCTAAATTAGATTGTTTCGTGATTCCAATGAAATTTAACAATCTTAATAATCCCATGCTTATAAAGTTGTACTACTCATTTTCATACGAAGATGTAGAATGTATGCTCCTAGTCGACGTCAGCCAGTAATAATCTACATAGAGTCTAACAAGTGTGTACGCTAGCTTAAGTTATCATACCATATCTGCACAATGAGATTGAAAATAATGGGGCGAATAGTGAAGGGATCGGTGTCATGGTAGAAAGGGTAATGAGAAAGACTGAGTGTTGAGAAAATAATTCAGAAAGATAAAATGAAAAGATACTTTTGAAAAAATACTGGTGTTCAAGATCTAGAGGAAGATAAAATGTAAATTCATCTGGATGTAAATAATATCACTCATCCAACCACTGATCGCGGTTATCGTGCGAATTGTACGTACGTACGAAGTTCTACGTTGTGACTGACTGACTGATCGCGCGAATTTTAACTAGATTGTCTGCATCTCTATCTACACGGCTCAGACCAATAGTCAGTGACTTCATGTAATGATGCCAAACTTTAGTTTGACGGTCCCTGTATTTCCTCCAGTCAACTCAAACTGGCCAACATCGCCCATCAAGGTGGATGGTTGTTGAACATCTCCTTACCATTTCGATCATTGAAGATGCACAACTTCATCAACTGATTGATTTACCATCAACATTATTTGTACATATTGATAACCTTATGTAATTTTACAACCACTTAACGCTTAAGTTCCTCAGAAGATTGTCAACATTATCCGGAACTTATACGATGGACTACAGTGCATGGAGGACAGCTGACAGATGCATCCCAAGCAAGAACCGGAGTCAGAAAAGACTGCTTACTCTTGCTCTTCTGGTGATTGACTGGATTATGAAGACTTCGACATCTGAGGAGATGCACAGAATAAAACGGACATCTCAGAATCAATTATATGATTTGGACTTCGCAGATGACCCAGTCCTCCTATCTATTACACATGAACAAATACAGACGAAGACAGCAAATGTAGCAGCAGCCTCTGCATCAATAGGCCTCAACATTCACAAAGGGAAAAGCAACATCCTCAATTACAACACGGAGAACACCAACCCAATCACACTTGATGACGGAACTCTGGAAGAGATGGGAATATTCACGTACCTAAGAAGCATCGTTGATAAACAAGGAGAATCTGATGCAGATGTAAAGGTGAGTATTGCCAAAGCAAGTGCCACATTCCTACAATTGAAGAATTTATGGAACTCAAAGCAGCTATTAACTAATTTGTAAGTGAGAATTTTCGATACGAACGTCAAAACAGTCCTACTGTACGGAGCTGAAACGTGGAGAATTACTACAACCATCATCAAGAAGGTACAAGTATTTATAAACAGTTGTCTACGCAAAATACCCAACATTCACTGGCCGGATACTATCACCAACAGCTTTTTATGGGAGAGGACAAACCAACTTCCAGCTGAAGAGGAAATTAAGAAAAGACGTTGGAAGTGGATCGGACACACATTAAAGAAATTATCAAACTGCATCACAAGGCAGGCCCTCACTTGGAATCCGGAAAGAAAGTGGAAAAGAGGAAGGTCAAAGAACACATTACTCCTGTAGGTTGGAGCAGATATGAAAAGGATGAATGTTAACTGGAAAGGATTGCCCAGGACAGAGTGGGATGGAGAATGCTGGTGTGCGGCCTATGCTCCTCCACGAAGGTTAACAGGTCTAAGTAAATAATGCTTAAGACATATTCCACTGTTAAATGTACGTTCTTTAATCTAGGTTTTTTTTAAAATTTAATCTCTTGTGTATTTATTTTCCAGCTTTGGATAAAATGAAAAAGTGGGCAGAAAAATCTTCAATGCCATTTAATATGCCTAAAGTATCATTTCAAGTAGAACGTTTATATGATTTAATTCAAACAATTGATACTAATGTGAAACCAGCATTTTATTTTGCTTTAAGAGATACATTAGTAACAGAAAATTTAAATACAGCTACAAAAGTTGCTTTTGGTCAACAACAACGTTATCGTGTTGTTACTCTTCAAGTAAGATTTCCCTTGTCCATGTAGTTTTTTTAATTTTCAAGATTTAATCTGATATGTTTTCGTTACCACTTCTACTCACTCGCCTATTACAAAATGAGTTCAAAACAACAGGTCGTTAGTGATTACCTGGCTGACCCCGGAGAAGTAGATATATTTTTGGATTAGTGATTGTATTCCAAAATCTGCGAGACTATAATTTATGGACGAGCCAATCAAAAGCGTGTGAGGGATTTCAAGGTCACGGCACTGATTTCAGTGCCTGGTGCTCATGTACGATCGGTTTACAGAGAATTTTAGAGAAGACTTGACAATTAAGCGGCTACAACAAATAAGACTACTAAGAAGTTCCTTTATTTGTGATTGTGGTAATTAAGTGACTTGTAGACCTTGTGCAAATTACCGTGATGTTGTCCTTCGATGTAATATATGCTGAAGGAAGACGTTTGCTAGAATAGGAACTTTTATCGCTCGATCCAGATTGAAACGAAGGCATATTATAATAATTGCCGCCAACTGTATAATAAAAGCACCAGAAACATTGGCTGCAATAATCGCATATATTACTGAAACTTCAGCTGTTCAGTGGTATGAGTATTATAGGGACATCCATAATAAAAATGATAAACTTAGGCAACGGGAGTACACACAAACAATAATGCTACTGCGAGATCATTATCTCAATGGTCAGAAAATACTGTTTAGATTGGCAGAAGTAGATAGTACCCTCGGTTTCCTACAGTGTTCATACGACTTCAGGATGACTAAATGGAAGAGCTTGTAGAGTCAGTTAATGCGTAACGTGGTACAACAAAATGAAAATTGTTTTATTTAGTATGTATTGTAACTAACATCATAACCTCTTGTACATTGTACAATTCAGTGTCTTCATATGTTTTTTATTTATTATTTTATTTAAACACATAAATATTGGTACAAAAAGCACCAGATAAATATGCGCCTCACAAATCTCATTTGATTTGTGTGATGGCTGTGATACTGCCCAGGTGCCCAGACTCAAGCAGGTGGTTTTCTTAGGGGGCCACACCCCGAGCCTTCAACCTAAAGGTCTAATCCACAAGGCAGTGGAGCACCGTAAGGAGATGCATTCCCATGGTAGCCGGTGACCAACAATAGTTCATACGCCATTCGTTCCATCAGGATCCTGTAGCCCATGTGCACTATTGGTTTGGAATTAGGGTTTTCCAACTCCCCTAGATGAACTTTCGGTGTCCACCAACCCGGTTAAAGCGCCGGACATTCGCTCTTCGTCTTCTCACTTTCGTAAACAACACCCATGGTGCGAGAAGGCAGTGAGTAGGACTTCCCTGGCAGAGGCTATATATTCGCGTGGCCATGTGAGAGCATTTGGAGAGGAAGAGCGGACTCTCCCCACTCTCGGCCGTACCAGGGCATTTGGGGGCTCTTCATATGTTATCAAACAGCGTGATATATAACCGGTGATTACATAATAATAGGAATAGTAAATGTTCACAGTTGTAGTTAGCAAGATTAGGTATAAAGAAAGGAAATTTTCAGGGTTCAGGATCTAGGGGAAGACAATGATTAATGAATTCACCTACACCGTTTCGAACAATTTGAAGCTGTGTCATCCAAGGTCTCTAAATACTTGTTGTGATAATCATGCGAACGCCAGCTCGATAGTCTGCACCTATTTGCTTCGTTCAGTCCACTCATCAATTACTTCATGAACTGATACCACGTCTTGGTTTGGCAACATCTGGCTTTCTTCCATGCCACTCATACAGTTTAGTGTATTCATGAAATAAATGTAGTTCATATTAATTGTGTTTTTTTTTACTTGCATTGTGTTCCTTAACATACCTATTTTATTATTTACTCTTTTGTTCCACGAATCCAACATCCCGTATGTATTCAAGTAGCTAGCGAAAAAATAATTAGTTGGCTAATTGCTATGAAATATTTGTAAACTATATTTATTGTTTTATTTCTTCTCCTAATTTCCTTCCTTTTTTAGGGACAAGTTATTGAAGTATCTGGTGCAATGTCAGGTGGTGGTGGTCGTCCACTTTCAGGTAGAATAATGACAGATATTGTACAAGTGAAAAAACTTCATGAAGCTAATTATGGTTGTGAATCTAAACGCAAACGACTATCAAGCGATGGTTCCAAAGAAACAAACGATCTATCTGCATTAGAACGTCAATTAACTCAAGGTGATGCTGAACTTGGTCGTTTACGAGATACTCGATCACGTTTGGAAGAAATGATTGTACGTATGACTCGTCAACGTGATGAATCGGAGCGTACAGTGAAACGATGTGAAGTAAGTTGTTCACTCATAAATTATGAGCTAATCAAACTCTCTCTGTCTAAAGCGTCTTTAATGTTTTCGAATATGTATTTTTACTTTTGAATACTGTAATAAGTATTTCATTCGTAAGTATTTGTGTCTTGTCGTTGTTAATGTTAATATCTACAATTGATCAGTCTCTTTTTGTCCCATTTACACCTTGAACGGATTGCCTCTATATTGTCATTTAGTTTCATATTTTGTAAAGTAGTTGGGTAGTGGCTAGCAGTGGGATCCAAGATTCTCATTTCGTTGAGTGGAGCTTAAACGGGGTTGATGGGTACGAAAGATCAAATTTGGAGGGTTTAAAAACCCTAATTCCAAACCAATAGTGCACATGGACCCCAGGATCCCGAAGGAACAAATGACGTATCAACCTATTGTTAGCCATCGGATGCCATGAGCTTAAAGGGTAAATGGATTTCTCTCCAAAATGCAAGACCTGATATATTAAATCTGATCGGTTTGTCCATTAATTCTAGTCTCACCAGTCTTGTCTATTCCGGTGTTTGAGCGAACAAACATCACTCGACCACATTTTATCATGTTGCATATATCTTTATCGATATCTGTTCTATTCATTCAGTCGGTTCTCCTCTGTAACACAAATCATAGTCAACTTGCTCCATTCAAATACCACTACATGGTCGAAATCTGTACATTTGTTATGATGTAATAAATTATTCCATGTAGTGATAAATATTATTTCACTTCAAATTGAGTTCAAGAATCGATCGATGTTAGACTACCATTGAAAATTTGAACGCAATTGACATCCGTTTCGTCCTAATATGGGACTCCTCGGCAGTGTACACCCACGATCCCGCGCTCGCTATTTGAATGCATGACCTTCGGTTTCGACCGTCCGGTTCTTCCAGGTTCTCAATGGTGGACTAGCATTGGTCAATTCATCATCTCAATCACAACTCAACGACCCTTTACTGATCACTTCAAGTTCTTAATGACGTCTTTCTCTTCAGTATCATGTAAATCTTAGTCAATTCGTGTTTAATTTCAATGTTTTAATTCACTCAAAAAATATTGATAATTTTTTTCTTCTTTAAAGAATGAATGTATTCATTTACGTGCTGAATTAAAAGCATTAACAGATGAAGTTAAACAAGCTGAAGAACGTGTCAAATCAACAGGACCATCAAATGTTGAACGTCAAAAATTTGAAAAACAATTAGAAAAACTTGAACAATTAACACAACAAAAATGTTCAATTGCAACGAAAAAACGTGAAGAATTAGAAATTTTAAAAAATAAATTATTAAATTTTGGTTCAGATCGATTAGCCACTGTACGAAATCGTCTTGATGTGATGGAAAAGAAGATCAAAGACGTAAGTTTCATTATTAGTGTTCTTGTTATGACTTTATTCAACTGAATTCATCACAAACTGGTAGCTTATAATGTACAGAATAATATGAATTGGTGTTAGGTAGATCCAGAATATTCTTCGAAAAAAGTCCAAAGGGGCCCTGAAAACGCTAGGAAACATTTTAACCAATCAGCACTAAATAGAAGTTTTTCAGAAATATCTATGAAGTGAGAAGTCACGTGTCACCTTTCTGATTGGATGACTACCTATCCTGTTATTTGTTCAGTAGGGTTTCAGAAGTCCAAGGCTATCTAAAATTCTGCAGATATCCTCAACTTTCTATACATAAAATACTCTTGGAGTGAAGCATTCTTTTCACACTTCACACCTTTTCTCTCATGTTCAAGTTGTAAAGATTTTAGTCTGAGGTTATAAGAAGAGTTTAGGAAACTGATTCAAGAGTTCAGTCGAAAGATTTACCAATTGGTACATGAGGTTGTTGATTAGTTTCTTCCCAAATTACGGAAATCATTTGTTTTTGGAGTCATAACCGTTTATACTCATCGAAGAAAAAATATCACAGTCTCTCTAATCCGAAAGGTAGAATTCTTTGTTTTCCAATTAGCAATAGGTAAACAAAATAGAGAATTGATAGTGTTATATTTCGAACTTAGACTCTTAGTATGTCGCGTATAACTTGAGCACTCGAACGCTAGAACACCCCCCCTCAAGTCGCAAAATGAGAAGACAGAAGACTATTAAGTAGGTATGTTATTCCAAACAGTATCAAATATAGTACAAAAATCTCATTCATTTATAGTTTTTTGGCTGAAAGTAAATCATCATTTCGGACAGCCAATAGGCACATAGGGGGGTCTTCTTATTCATCCAATAGGGGAGCTACATGTCGGCATTCTAGAATGTTCCTCCAGCGGTGATTGGATGGAATGTCTTCGGCTCTTTCTGGACTTCTTGAGGCTTCTATGAGTTTGCCAATGAGCCATCCTTACAGATAGTGAACAGGATGACTTCAATTTTTTCTGGGATTGTATGAGTGGCTTCCACACTACACAACGTTTCTTTTCAACGAAACTGAATTAATCCTGAATAAATAATTTAATCTATTCAAACAGTTGTTAAAAGATTGATCAAAAAAGCCTTTATTAAAATATTTATTTTCAGTATTGCATGATTGAGTTTTCACTTTCAAAGTCTCACAACTGTTACTAAACACTGTTCTGCTTCATTTTTTCGAGATGCATGATGATGGCTGGTGTAGCAGTAGGTTAGAGGAAAGCTAAGAGTGGACAAAACCAAGACATGACATTAATCCATAAAGAATAACTATGGAACGTGATCATATAAGTAGGTGCAGACTACTTGGTTAACGTTCTTATGATTATTGTAACTAATGATCAGAGACTTTAGGTGGTGTGACTCAAAATCATTTTACATATTTGTTAGGTTTTTATGTTGCATCATCTGAAACTGATCTAACTCCATTTGACAATTTGAAAGTAATTCATGAATCTGTTAACAACTCGATGAGAAAATCATCTTATTTTTGTTACACACAGTAGTACATCCAGTCACTCTGCGACCCGAAAATTGCTTTACTTTTATTTTGCCATCTAAGAAGATCTCAAGTAACTGGCATCCTTGTCAACATACTGCTGGTTGGTCATTATGATGATTTGCAGTGTCTATTTGACAATTCATGCGCATTTACATACCTTGTAACGTTCTTGATCTGTCCAGCCACTAGTCTTAGCTTAACATGCGAGGAAAGGGAGAGTTGTCTCAATCTAGTTTACGGATGTGAGGCGTTATGTTCCTTAGCATAACTTTGAAACTTGTAATTATGCTTCAGTTTGTATGTGAGATTAAAAATTATCCCACTACTGACCTAATTGGTTGTCAAACGAAGAAAGAAGACAATTTAGTTGAAATAGTATATCCGATTTGTTACTAATTCAACTAACTCTTAAAGGTGCTTGAATTAACTGGACTACAACGCACCAAGACTGAGAAAAATACAATTCTATCTAAACTGGAATATTAAAGTAGACAAATGTTTAAATCAGAAGGGGTTTTGTGGATATTTCAGTATTTTCATAGTTGAAATCATTAGTCAGTTGAAGCTACAACCAAGTCTGTTGTAGAGATATCAACTCACTAAAGACAATTGGTGAACAGTTGCTCAAGCATCGTGGATTGGTTGAAGTTAGACATTAACACCGTTGGATACCGGTTCAGTGGTCTATCAGTTAAGAGCTCTGGCGCGAGACTGGTAGGTCCTGGGTTCGAATCTCGCGAGTGTGGGATCGTGGATGCGCACTGCCGCTGAGGAGTCCCATAATAGGACGAAATGGCCGTCCAGTGCTTCCAAGTTTTCCATGGTGGTCTAGCTTCAATTGACTCATGATTTCAACTATGAAAATGTTTAAATGACTGTAATTTTGAAATAGAAGAGAATATAACCAGTAATTTTCACATTAAACATATTGTTGGGGATGTTAAATCTCCAGAACTTACTTGGTAAATGACTTATTTTTTGTAATTTTATTTCTGAAAATTTGAATTTCCTTGTTTTCGCGTCAAAAGCGCTCCTTTCACCATCGAGTCATATTTCCCACTTGGAAATATCCTAAACGCTATTGGTCCGTTGTATCTTTTTAGTATGTTATTTCATCAGGCTTCCCAAGGACAATTGTATACTGTATAAATACGTTTGATTTCTTCCTATTGTGCTTGCTTGTACTTCGGCTGCTTACAGAATATCTTTTTCCCCTACTTCATCTTAAACTCCTCACTCTAGTTAGCGGGGCCTGGGACAACGAATTAGATAAGATGGTGGTTGGAGGTGGTCAACAGTAAACCCTTGACCCGGGTTTCGTCCTACTTGGCACTCGTTAGCAAGGTGTACCTATAATCTTAAGGGACTATAATAATAAGGGACTGGTGCTCCCTGACGGATTCGATCCCGTGTCACTCAGCTTCACAGTCAGGGACGTTACCACTGAGCTATTGGGGCCGCGACCGACTTGACACGCATGACATTGATCACCACCCAGTTATAAATCATTTGTGACAACGGATTAGAATAGCCTATCGTGTCACTGTGTCGTTGACCTTCATTCGTTTACCGGGGAAAGTCGTAATTAGCATCAAACATATTACATATGTTCCCATTTCATAAAATAAAACCGGGACCAAAACTTAACTTATTTGATTGTTTTGTTTTCTTTCTTTCTTTCTTACTTACTTATAGACCAATGATGAATTAACTAAATTAGAAGTTAGTTTAAAAACTGCTACACGTAATCAACAAAAATCTATTGAAAAATTAAAGAATATGGAAATGGAAGCAGAATTATTAAAAACAAAATTAATTGATATTGATAATAAATTAAAACAACTTGAAGAAGATGCACGAGCATGTATGATAGATTATCAAAAAATTCAAGATGAAGTAAGTTTTGTGAAATGGGATGGTTCTTGAATGCTGTTGTGGAGGTAGGAGGTATGACAACTTGAATCGATGCATAAATGTACCAGTTATCTTTGGAATCCATTATCATGTTACAATTGAATAACTTCAACGCTTTAAACAGTCTTTAGCGGTTCTCATATAGTTAGAAGGTAGTTTGTTTATGAAGTAGCATGAATGAAGAGTTAGAAAAGAGAAGAACAAAAGAAGTGGGTTGACGACACAGCAAGCTCTCACATAATCCAATTACATTTATTAAGTAAAAGTAATCGACAATGATCAGAAATAACACAAGCATCAGATGAAGACAAATTGGAAATCTAAACTAGAAGCAGATGGTTTAACTTGCTACTGGTCACATCTGCGAACACCCTCCTTTCTCTCCAGTGTGCTAGAAACATAATATTTAAAGTACTGAATAAATACTAGTGTTTGTTTTATGTTCTGTACACCGTCCGTTTGCTTATTGTGTTGTATAGATAATCTACCCTGTCCTATGTATCATTATTTGATAAATTCAATAAACTATGTAACCTGATTATCCTAGATTTGGCTTAAAATTAAGCACACAACTGTTTCATAAAACCTAGAAAGTCAGTTTCTCTTTGTTAAATGTGATTTGAGTAACCTAGTCTGTAGTCAACAAGAAATCCTGCTCGGTCTAGGTTTCGTGCTAATTGAGGCTCGTCAGCAATTCGTACTTGTAATTTGGACGGAACGAATATTCTTTGTACGATTCGGATTGGTATCAGTAAATAAACTAAGATTTTGACAGGTTACAAAATAAAATAGAACTGATTGATTACTGAATAGTAATGAATATCATATTTGACTAGTCTTTTAGTGACTTGGTAAACGTGATATTGGTCACTATTTAGTAATCAGTCAGTTATACTTACTTAACCTGTTTAAGTTTATTTATTTATTTGAACACATAAACATTGTTACAGGGTGGCATCAAATACGCGCCACAAAATAACAATGAGTCCAGTAGCAGTTATCATTGGTTTGTGTGAGGGCTGTGATACTGCCCAGGTGCCTAAACTGAAGCAGGTGGTTTTCTTAGGGGATCACACCCGTAGCCTTTGACCTAAAGATCTGATCCACAAGGCAGTGGAGCATCGTAAGGAGATGCAGTTCCATGGTAGTCGGTAACCAACAGTTGGTTCTTACGCCATTTTTTCCATCAGGATACTAGAGCCCATGTGCACCATTTGTTTGGAATCAGGGTTTTCCAACTTCTCTAGGTGGGGACCCTCCGTGTCCACCATCGTAGTACATGACATATATGATGCATCTCTGTTCAAATTGCTTTACCATATTAGCACTTACATTAATTACTTACTAATTGTGAGATTATTATTATTAAAATAGGTTGAAGAATTACAAAAACTTAAAGAAAAATGTCAAACTGAATTAACTGAAGCAGAAAATACTTTAGCAACAATACAAAAAGCTGAAAATTCATCTCGTCGTTTAATTAGTCAATTTGAAAGTGAATTAACTCAAGCTACAACAAATGCACGTCATTGGGAACGTGAACTTAGAGGTCTTCGATTACATCGTATTGACGATGATGATGAAGAAGAAGAAGAAGAGGAGAAAGAAAAAGACGGATCAGAGGTTGTAATGGAAGAGGAAAATGTAAAAGTATCATCTCAAGATGTTTCCCAATCAGTCGTTGGTGATTTGAATAATGAAAAATCACCAACATTAAAACTGAATGAACAACAACGAATCAATAGGAAATCTAATAATAAATCTAAGAACCTTCCGAAATTCACAGACGAGGAATTGCAAAGTAAATAATGATTGATTTATTTTCTTACTTACTTAAGCCTGTTACCCCTCGTCGAGGAGCATAGACCGCTCACCAGCATTCTCTATCCAACTCTGTCCTGAACCTTCCTTTCCAGTTGCTATTCATCCTTTTCCTATCTGCTTCTATTTCTCGTCGTAATGTGTTCTTTGACCTTCCTCTTTTCCGCTTCCCTTCCGGATTCCAAGTTAGGGATTGCCTCGTGATGCATTTCGGTGATTTCCTTAATGTATGTCCTATCCAATTCCAACGTCTTTTTCTAATTCGCTCGTCAGCTGGAAGTTAGTTTGTTCTCTCCCATAAAACTCTGTTGCTGATTTTATCCGACCAGTAAATGTTGAGTATTTTGCGTAGACAAAATGATTGATTTAATTCCAGTTAATGATCTACTATAACTCATCACTGTCATTAAAATTGATTACCTCACCATGTTGTATATTCACAGTTCATTTATAATCTTGGTAAATTCCCCTTATTCAGTGAATATTCTTCACTGAATGCATCAACTTGACATATTTCTAGTGCATTTAAGGTTCTAAGGTGGTTGGAGATAGTCGATTTAGGTTTCGTGACATTTGGGTTTTGAGGTAACTGATACTCTTTATGGGATTTGAACCCATGCGACTCAGTTTCACAGCCTTATAAGTTACCACTGAGCCATCCGAGCCGCAAACTATTGCCTGCATGATTAATAAATCTACAATTGACTCATAACTAAGTGATAATTAGTGTCATTTCATCACTACCAACTAGGTTAACCCAAAGGATTAGCTTCCAACTATCTCTAACGGTCTAACATCTCAACATAATACAAACCTTGTCTGGTAAATTAGATTAGTGACCACATAGCGAGTTTATCGATTAGAATTCGGTCATCAGTAAAGAAATTAGGCAAGCGTGAAATTAGTTACACTACTCAGTCAGTGATCAATTAATGACACTCAATAAAATGCATTTCATAAATTAGAACAATGCGAAGTGTGTACATAATGTAGAACACACTCATTTATTTCGATTATTTTGTGGCGCCTTATGTCTCAAATTTCTCCATGTACTTCATATATATATGCACACATTTCACAAATTGAAAATAACAAAAGTGTCTATTCCATCTAAGTCTGTGTATATGTTGAAGGATTTAGTAATCAGTAAACTTTCAACAACGTCATATGACATGAAGATTTTAATGGCTAAGTTCCACAGTCAAATACATTGATTCAAATGGAATAAGAAAACTCGTTGTACTGCATTAGGATATACTTGTCAAAATGTTGATAATACTGATACTCTTTATGGGATTTTAACCCATGCGACTCAGTTTCACAGCCTTATAAGTTACCACTGAGCCATCCGAGCCGCAAACTATTGCCTGCATGATTAATAAATCTACAATTGACTCATAACTAAGTGATAATTAGTGTCATTTCATCTAAGCCCCAAAATGCCCTGGTACGGCCGAGAGTGGGGAGAGTCACCTCTCCCTCTCGAAATACTCTCATATGGCCAGCGAATATATATAGCCTCTGCCAGGAAAGTCCTACTCACTGACTTCTCGTGGCGGGGGTGTTGTTTACGAAAGTGAGAGGACGAAAAGCGAATGTCCGGCGCTTTAACCAGGTTGGTGGACACGGAGGGTCCACCTAGGGGAGTTGGAAAACCCTAATTCCAAACCAATAGTGCACATGGGCTACAGGATCCTGATGGAACGAATGGCGTGTGAACTATTGTTGGTGAACGGCTACCATGGGACTGCATCTCCTCACGATGCTCCACTGCCTTGTGGATCAGACATTCAGGTCAAATGCTCGGGGTGTGGCCCCCTAAGAAAACCACCTGCTTGAGTCTGGGCACCTGGGCAGTATCACAGCCCTCACACAAATCGAATGAGATTTGTGAGGCGCATATTTATCTGGTGCTTCATTGTACCAATATTTATGTGTTTAAATAAATAAAAAATAAAATGATGATGACTGTGGTAGCTTGTTTCGTATTCCAGATATTCTTCAACTGTATGAATGTTGCTTTTGCTTTGTCAATTCGTGTCTTCATATCTGCATCGGACTGTACTTATTTATCAACTATGTTGTCCAGGTAAGTTAAGGCTTCCACCTCCTCAAGAGCTTCGCCATCCATCGTATCTTATCTGATTGCTGATCTCTGTTTTTTTCAGGATCTGGCTCTTTCCCTTGTGTATGCTGAGACTTACTACTACACTGGCTGTCTTCATCTGAATTCGTTTTTGTGAATACGATAGCTGTGTTAAGTCATTTATGGAGTCTAAATCATCCAGTTGCATCGAAGATGTCTACTGTATTCCTTGCTTTTTTCCTAAATGTAAGGGCTTTCATAATCCAGTCAACAGTTAACCGAAAGAGAAAAAATAACAGTAGGTAATCTTGTCTGACCCATCTGTAAACTTTCCTTCGTGCAAAATTTTACAGTTTATTTCCTCTTAGTAGTTTAAAATATTGGTGATGGTCTTCTCCGGTACTCCGTAGTGCCACAGACTTTTTCTGATTTCTCATTATCAAAGAAGTTGATATATATTCGTGAGTTCCATTCAGTCGACTGTTCAGCAAATGATCCATATTATCATAAATCTTTCGGTACACGATCTTCCATTCAAGGAATTAATTGTATGGAACAACTGTACAGCTACATCATTACTATTATTAAAAACGAATCTTCCCTGATCTCTTATCAGATATCTTCTTTTTTTGTTTCTAAATTTGGTAGATCTTCATGCTGATCTAAATGAAATGAAACATTTAGAAGAGCGTATCACTACAATGGCGCCAAATATGGCATCTATAGAAGAATATCGTCGTAAAGCAGAAAATTATTTAACACGTGTTAGTGAATTAAATCATATCACTAATATATTAAGTGAACAACGTAAATATATGGAAGATGCTAAATCAAAAAGATTAAGTGAATTCCTTGATGGTTTTCATGCTATTACAAATAAATTAAAAGAAATGTATCAAATGATTACACAAGGTTCGTGTTTGGTTGCTTTTTTTGTTGTTGTTGTTGTTGATGGTGTTCCATTCAACTACTATTGATTTTAATATTACCGATCCATATTAGAAAACCATTAAAAACCTGAAAGTACTGAGGGAGATTGTTTCTTCCTGGTATTGAACTCCTCCAACCCATGACCCCGCAACCTGGGTTCGAACCCAGGACCAACCGTCTTGCACTTGGATCCTTAACTTTAAAACCATCGAGCCAGAATCTTATGATGTACAAGTCTAGATTCAATCTATCCACGACATTGTGTTTTTTTCGCTACCCAAACTGCCCCTGAATATAAGGTGGGTGACTTTCTTGAACGGATCATGGAGAGATCTCATTAGTTCGAAAATTGGCACAATTACCAAATGATTGTTCTGTTCTCTGTACTGACATGTTAACTGAGGAACTAATATGTCTGTCATATAGTAAGATAAGGTGTGACATTATTATTGGTCTGAGCCATGTTAGTAGATGCAGACTACCTGATTGGAGTTCGTGTGACTATCATAACCAACAGATGGAGACTGAGTGACGTGGCTCAGAATCGATCACAATGGCGTGGGTGTATACACTCATTATCTTCCCTTAAACCTTGAGATTAAAATTACTTCATATCTGTCTTTTTTCCTATACTATATCCTTATATACAACCTATCTTTTATATATTACCACAACTAAATTAACTGCTTCTATGAATTCACTATTCATCTTGTTGTGCTAATGGGGTTTGGCAACTTGGACCGATGCATATATGTGCCCGGTCCTACGTTGTAGCTGACTGACTGACAATATCCTCAGAGAAGTTTAGTTCTTAGTGAGATTTTGGAACTACTCACCATGATCATTACTGGAAGTTGTCATCTCTTCATCAGAAATCGCATAAATACCACCCAGCAGTAAGCCTAATATCCATACACCTCATCTCTGAAACTTGTTGATGACATTATCTAAAAATACTTTCATGAATTTCCGATTAAATTCTTTCAACCACGTAACATATAAACGTAGTACTATATCATGTCACAAATCATTTAAACATCAACGTAGTTACATTGTAATAGTTGTTTATCACCAAGTTTGTTGTTTTGTTTTGTTTTTGACATCCCAAATGCCCTGGCACGGACGAGAGTGTGGAGAGTACGCTCTAATGTGACCACGCGTATATAGCCTCTGCCAGGGAAGTCCTACTCACTGCATTTTCATTGCATTACCGTTGTTTTCGAAATTGAGCGGACGAAAAACGAATGTCCGATGCTATAACCGGATTGGTGGACACGGAAAGTTCACCTAGGGAAGTTGGAAAATCCTGATTTCAAACCAATGGGGCACATGGGCTGGCTCCAGTATCCTAAGGGAACAAATGGTGTATGAATCAATCGTTGGTCACCGGATACCATGAGGCTACATCTCCTCACAATGCTCCATTGCCTTGTGGATCACATCTTTAGGTCAAAGGCTCCGAATGTGGCCCCCTCACAAATGAGATTTGTGTGGCGCATATATATCTAGTGCCGCTTTGTACCAATATTTATGTGTTGAAATAAATATCTGATTGAAGTATTAATTAATTATGTATTTCATATTTCTTTTATTCAATGAAAAACAGGCGGTGATGCAGAACTAGAATTAATCGATTCTCTTGATCCATTCTCTGAAGGTATTGTTTTCAGTGTACGTCCACCTAAAAAATCTTGGAAAAATATTGCTAATTTATCTGGAGGTGAAAAAACTTTATCAAGTTTAGCCTTAGTTTTTGCATTACATCATTATAAACCAACTCCATTATATGTTATGGATGAAATTGATGCAGCATTAGATTTTAAAAATGTTTCAATTGTTGGTAATTATTTAAAAGAACGTACAAAAAATGCCCAATTTATAGTGATCTCATTAAGAAATAATATGTTTGAATTATCAGATCGTTTAATTGGTATATATAAAACATATAATATAACAAAAACTATAACATTAGATCCATTACCATTAATGGAACATTTACGTAGTTTAGTGATACGTGTTGCTACAGTGAATGGTCATGAAAAAGAGATGAAATCGTTAACATTACCACCTCTATCCTCACCACTACTACCACCACCACAGCAACAACTACAACCAATGATAATGAATTCACCAATGAAAATAATGAATTATTCAAATCATGAATCTGTTGTTTTAAAATCAAATATGACAGAGATTATTCTTGTTAATGATGAAGATAATCATGATAATATACAAACAAAGTTAACAATAAATAAGGGAATAGGAAATCAGGAAATATTGTTTACAGTAAGTTGGGGTTTTAGCTTTTTCCTTTTGTGTGTGTATACCTTTTGAGTTATGTATTTGTTTTAAAGTTTTGACCCCCAAATGCCCTGGTATGGCGAGAGTGGGGAGAGTCTGCTCTTCCTCTCGAAATGCTACCACATGGCCACGCGTAATATAGCTCTGCCAAGGAAGTCTTACTCACTGCCTTCTCGTGGCGGGGGTGTTGTTTACCAAATTGAGAGGACAAAAAGAGAATGTCCGGTGCTTAAACCAGTTTAATGAGTACGGAGAATTCACCTAAGGGAGTTGGAAAACCATGATTCCAAACCAGTGGTGGGAACAAATGGCGTATGAATGAATCGTTGGTCATCGACTACCATGAGACTGCATTTTCTAACGTTGTTCCACTGTCTTGTGGATTAGACCTTTAAGTCGAAGACTCGGGGTGTGACCTCCTGAGAAAACCACCTGCTTCAGTTTGGGCACCTGGTCAGTATCACAGCCCTCACACAAATCAAGTGATAGTTGTGTGGCGCATATGTATCTAGTACCCCTTTGTACCAATATTTATGTGTTTAAATAATAATAAACAATTTAAAGTTTTGAGAAAATTCTACAGATAGAAAAAGATGTTGGGATGATCCAGAAAGTCTGGATACCGATCCTGAATCCTCCAAAAAGGGGGAGGTATTGAGGTGATCCTGAAAATTTCTCGCAATAGACATAACAAGCTCAAACAACATTAAGAAGCATTTTATCTAATTAGCGTTTAATTAGAAGTTTTGCTAGAAACATCGTGAAAATGAAAAGTTACATGTAGAGGTTCTGATTGGGTGATTACTACACTGCTACTATATTTAGTAGTATTTTAGAATTTTCAGGAAGCCTAAGGGCTTTTAAAATATTATAAAAACTATATATTCTGTACATAAATGAACCTTTGGAGTAATGTGCTTTCCACATATTTTGCCACCTTTTTTCTCGCGTTCAAGTCCTTGGGGGATTACAAGATTAGGCCAATTGATTTCTACTTGAAGTTTGTGCTGATGATATCGTACAGAAAGATGATGGAAACTCGACGACCAAACTATCCATCTCTAAAGAACAAAACTAAATGGTTATAGGTATTGCAGAGTTCTATTCAATATTGACAAATCGTATGTTATTTATTTCAGTTAGTCAGTCATAGATAACATAGAACATGTCAGATATGTTCATCGGTTCAAATTCTCACATTAAACATCATCACAATTAGATAATAAGGTAGTAGAAAGTAGTAATTGTACCAGTGATACTAGTTCTGTTTCGGTTTGGGCACTTGGGCATTATCACAGCCCTTACACAAAATAGTGATAACTACTACTGGCCTCATTGTTATTGTATGACGAATATTTATTTAGTGCCCCATTTTACTAATGTTTATGTGATCGATTAGATCATAAAAGATCGAAAGTAAAATAAAGAGTGAATGTATCTATGCTATTGTAATTGATTCTGAGCTTGCCTCAACTCACAAAGATAACTGATATTGCAAAATTTGTTATGAAGTGTAGGATTGATCAAATCAAAGCATGACATTCGTTACGCGAAGTCATATAGGTAGATATAGTTTATCTGGTTGAAATTCACGTGATAACCGTTATCGGTGTTTGGAAACTTCGCTTTTCATTTCTTAGAATCGTTCACAATAGCACAGATATATTCATTCTTCATATTCCTCTTCTTCTTGATTTCCCTGTATTCTATTTTGTCCCTTCAAAGACTGTTTTTAATATTTAGTCATCTCCATTATCACTGCTACTAACATTACCCCAATGTTATCTATTATACATTTTGTTAATTTCATCCCGTGCTAATGAGGTTTGGCAACTTCCGTCAACACATACTTGTGTTATAATCTACGTTGTTGATGACTGATTAATGTAAACATCTATCTATGTTGATCTAGTGTGATAACTTGAATTGATACACATATGTACCAATTTTTACATTGCATATGACTTATTGATTGAGGCATGTCACCCAGAATCTGTAACCCATTGATAACGATAATCGCACATACATCGAACAGTCAGTCTATATTCACTTCCAACACAACTAAGTCTAGAATTCAGTAACTTCATGAACTTATAAAAATGTAAACATGGTTTAACCTCTTGTAGTTAGTTAGTTATCTTTCAACCCCAAAATGCTCTGGTACGGCCGAGGGTAGGGAGAATCAACTCTCCCTCTTTAAATGCTCTCACATGACCACGCGATACAGCCATTGAAAAGGAAGTCCTGCTCACTCCGTTATCGCGGGGGGAGATGAGACCAGTGATTCACTGTCTTGTGGATTAGACCTTCAAGTCAAAGGCTCCGGATGCGGTCCTCCTAAGAAAACCACCTACTTCGGCTTGAGCGCATATGTATTCGGTGTCCCCTTTGTGCCAATATTTTTGTGCTCAAATAAATAGATAAAATACAACCTAAGAAGTATATTATACTCATAATATTTAATAATAATCCCTTATTAAAGACTGACCAGTTGCAGTCCCATCACGTTATCCACTCAGCTACTGAGTCCTGATAGCAGTCCTAAACTTCAATGGGACGATCCAAACAAACAATACTAAATAAATTTCAACTTCACCCCCATTGAACAAGCAAGTGCCTATCAGGACTCAGTGACTGAGTGGAGAACGTGATGGCGTTTGAAGCCAAACGTGCTGGGTTCGAGTCCCAGAGTAAATATCAACTCTGAGATGCAGCTACATCCAGCTAACAAGTCCCAAATAGAACGAAACGCGCGTCCTCGATTCCACTGCAGGCCAATATCCATCTTTGCTTACCATTCTTGTGAATCTAATTTATATCGAGGCAATACGCACAGTATGCACATATGCCAATTAGAGGCTGACCAGTTGTAGTCCTAAAAACATCAATGGGAAGATTCAAACAAACAATACTAGGTAAATAATCCCTTACTGTTTATTTCTGTGTTTTTTTCAGAATCCGAATAATGATAATAACACTGAGTCTGCTATGGAATGTTGAATAATATCTGGTGTAATATAGTAAGTGGGTTCTTGTTTGGAGGAGTGTATTGTAAAACTTTAATTGAGATATAAAACATTAACCATGATGATGACGATAATGTTAACATTGTATATACTTTGTATTGTCTATAAGATTTATGTTTGTTTGTTCTTTTTCTTGCATTTATATCTATATAGTACTTATTATTCATATGTGTATATATATACATCTATTTTTGTACAAATATGATTTGTTTTCTGTATACTTAGTCGTTTACGTTCCCTGGTATGTTCTTCGGAGAGAGGGGGGGAATTGTATGTTTACGTAACAACCAGTGAAGTTTGTGTTCATATCTGTTACCTTAAGGCAACTATTGAATCTTAATGATGCCCAAAGTGGTGAAATTCGAGATTGACGACTACCGAAATCTTATAGTTAACAGTGGTGGTTACTCACTTGATATTAATCGCAATGTTGTTAAATTGGTGGTGTACGATAATAAGTAACTAAATAGTTTGACTAGCCTTATGTCATACAAAACAATTATATACTTATAGGCATAGAGGATTTATGGGGATTGTTGAATTTCATAGTTTACGACAGGAAACGATCTTACAGTTAGACACGTGTTGTGAATCATGAAGCTCTGGATATTCGCCTCTTCCTGGTACGAGATCATTGATTTAGTAGAGTTAGAAATGTAGACTATCATATGCCACCTCAATGATCTAAAGGTCAGGTGTTCGCAGCGAAGGCTCTGGGCTCGATTCCCTATGGCATGATCTATCTGAACTGCTGAGATTCGGATACAGTGACAATAATTTAATTGATGTCAGTTAATTAGTTATAATGAGCTAAGAGCCTGATACAGCTTCGAGTCAGTCCAAGTTTCAAGGCTAAACTAAAATGCCGACACAAAACTAACCAAATGAAGAGTAAGACACATCGAAATAATGTAGTAGCAATGATAATCAAGTAGATTGAAAATATGATTTAATAATATGGAATGAAAAGAAAGGATCTACAAAGGAATACTGAGACGAAAGATCTAGAGTAAGGATAAAAGAAGAATGTTTGCATCTATGCCACTGTATCCGATTTTAAAGTACATCCATTCGATTGATATCATAATTTGTCATAAATTCACTAATGGATAAGATTAATAGTTCAGTTAAAATATTACAGACAACATGAGTACATACAAGCTTAACAAAAGATATCATGAAATATATAACGAAACGGTTTTTAATGTTTAGATTAGACATTGAATAGTTAATTATCGTTCTTTGAATATACTACTTAATTGATAAAATATGTGTAATTATCAGAAGTTTTGTGGAGATTTTAGTAATTTTATATAGTTGAGATCATGAGTCAATTGAAGCTAGACCACCATGAAAAACCTGGAAGCACTGGACGGCCGTTTTGTCCTATTGTAGGACTCCTCAGCAGTGCACATCCACGATCCCGCACTCGCGAGATTCGAACCCAGGATCTATCACTCTCGCGCACGAGCACTTAACCAATAGACCACTGAGCCGGCATCCAAAGGTGTTAATATCTAACTTCAACGAATCCACAAATTTGAGCAACCATTCAGCAACGTCATCAGTGAGTTGATATCTCCCAACATACCTGGTTAAAATACACTGGTTACTGCTTTTCACTAGATGTCCAGGTAATATCTCATGGAGCCAGTCACTAGTGAGTACATGATCACTCTAATAACTTCTTCCGATAATTTGTAACCCGAATATTGTCATATAAATACAATTCATATTTACTACAATACAGGTTTAAACAAACTGGGAATTTCGAATTAGTATAACTAAACAACAATCCTGTTCACTATTAATAACAAATCATTTGAACATCTTTTAAGATATTGGGTTGAGATAACATTCCTCTGATTTCCGAATTCAATGGTATAGTGAAACTTTATGCACATGGCCAAGTAACAACTTGACAAGCTAATGTTTTACTTTTTATCAAAATATAAGAGCAAACATTGGAAAACTGAACATCAATCATCAGGAAGAAGCATATTAATTAGTCATATTGACTGTTCATCCTACTAGAGATGAGTGGTAAAAAGAGATATAAAATGTCGTGAAGTGATTGAAAATTTAGGTTAGACATGTAAATTGTTGCATGCTGGGCAAAAGTTTAAACATTTGCCGTGAGACCTAAGGAGTTTGGGTTCGATCTCCGGGATGTGTTGAGGAGTCTTATACTAGGACGAAACAGGTTACCAGTGTCTCATATTTTTTTAAGCGTTATCTGGCCGGGTGTGGCCCCTTAAGGAAACCATCCGCTTCAGTTTGGGCGCCTGAACAGTATCACAACCCTCACACAAATCGAATGAGATTTTTATATATATTTATATAGTGCGTATATATCTGGTGGCACTTTGTACCAATATTTATGTGTTTAAATAAATAAATAACTATCCGCATTTTACTGCAACTCTGTTACTCAGCGTCTCCTCCATTCACAGTCACTATTGGCTTCCTCAAGTATGATGGTTATTTTCATTTTATGGTCTGATGTGGTTCATTTTATTTAAATATAAACCACTTCTTTTTGATATATAGAAGTTGGTTGATACTTTTAAACTCAGCGCACAACTTAGAAACGAGTGTGAGAACAGTAGATGCGTCTATTATAAATTACTTGTTGATTCAAGCTCAATAGTGCTGTTCGAGAGTGTATATGATCAAGTCAGAGACCCTAAGCTATAGAGTAAATAATAAACCAAATTAAAATCAGGATTCTGATTGGTGATTTGGAACGCGACACTGATCAGAGATCTACGGGACATAATATTAAAGGCTTCGAGAAATCAATGAGTTAAGAGGTTTTTCCAAATATCGAACGAGTGCGATTCAGAGTTTGTGTATCTGGAGACTCAGCAGTAATTTTTGTTGTCTTGCTGGAGTAGGTATAGTGGTAAAAACAGGACAGACAATACTTGAGTAGACAGCGAGTAAACAGTCGCTTAAAGGTTGCCGGAATAAATGGTACAGTTGGAATCCTGAAACTCAGCGGTATATGCCTATGTCTCTTCGTTGTTTTTGTATACTACCTGCAGCACAGATGAAATAAAAACTGAGTTTCACCAAACGTTTTCTGATCTCTAGAAGCGTAAACGTTCAGATGAATTAGTTGTAGCTGGTGATTTTGATGCCCAATTAGATGGATCAAGAAAAGCTGAAATATATGTGAATGAGTTGTATGCCATTTCAACCGAGCAGGTAGATAAGTGACCGTCTATTACAACCATATGCATAGAAAACCGTTTATGTCCTAAATTTAAAGCATGAAGAAAGGTTCAACGGAGAAATATATGGACAAACAGATGGAGTTGCAATGGGTTCACCTCTGGGCCCTATACTAGCTGATATTTTTCTATCCAGACTAGAAAATGGTCTACTAAAAAAGATTATTCCAAAATCCACATTTTGCTGTAGATATATAGATAACACGTTTACCCTCTTTAAAGATAATACATCACAGCAAGACGTTCTCAGGCAGTTTAATGAAGTGCATCCATCCATTGAGTTTACATCTAAAGAGTAATATTTGAATAGCTCTTTTGGACGTTCTCTTAATTAAGAGAGAAAAATCATGTTCCTATCAGTCATCACAGACGAGTTGCGATTGCAAAATCACAGTTCTCCTAGCGGCCCACTCTCAGCCGTACCAGGGCATTTAGGGGCAAACCGCAGTTTACCATAGTCCACAAGCTCAGATACTATATTCTTGTTAATATTAGAAAGTCTAAAACAAAGATGGATAGTGGAATCCAGTTTGACGCGCGCCACTTCGTCCTATTCAGAACTCGTCAGCTGGATGTACATGCATCTTAGACATGTTGATATTCACTCTGGGACTCGAACCCAGTACTTTTCACTTTAAACTCCATCGTGTGAATCAAAACTAGAACATTCTTTATCTTCAAATGTAAACAATATATTATTCATTCAATTAGAATAATAATAATGAATTTATTATATACAATGAATTATTGAATTAATTTTCTTGAAGGTATCGTATCTTTTAAACTTTCTAACCATGTCATTGTACCATTTAACACGGGGCATAATGATTGAAATACATGTAAAGTTGATAAAATTAAACGACCATTTATATTTAATTGGATTTCTTTAATTGGTAATCTAGCTGTTCTATAACCATTTCTTATAGCTTGGTTATAACAATAACCCTTTAAATGATTATGATCAATTAAACCACCTATGACATAGATATCATCTTGATTAAAGTGATTATTATTAATATTATTACTAGTAGTTGTATTATCATTGGATGCATCATCTATATTAGTAGTAGCATTAGATGGATCGTTTACATTAAATGATTCTGGTAAAGTATATTCTGATTCAGCGCATAAATAAACAATTTTATCAGTTGGAAATAGTTTAGTAAAATCATCCTAAAAACAGAAAAAAAAAACGAAAAAATGTTTGAATAGTTGAAATCATGAATCAATTGAAGCAAGACTATCATGGAAAACTTGCAAGTACTAGACGGTCGTTTCGTCCTATCGTGAGACTCCTCAATGGTAGTGCGCATCCACGATCCCGACTTGCGAGATTCGAACCCAGGACACATCAGTCTCGCGCGCGAGTGCTTAACCACTAGACCACTATTGAGTAATTAGATGGTGTATATTTATATTCATCTTATTATAAGCTTCATTTTGATCTATGAATTATTACTGTACAATTTACTGTTCCCAAATTATGTTCAGTTTATTGATTATTGTATCTCACGTTCACAGCCACAACGTAGGCCATACCTCGTTAGCACAAGAACATGAACACCGAATTCATAGAAGTAGTTAATTTAGTGGTAGTAATATATAAAATAAAGGTTGTATATAAGAATATAGTATAAAAAGGAAGAAAGTTACGAAGCAATTTTAATCTCAAGGTTTAAGGGAAGATAAATAGTGTATACATCGACGCCATTGTGATCGATTTTGAGCCATGTTACCTAGAGTCTCCAACCATTGGTAACGATAGTCACGCGGATCCCAACCAAGTAGTCTGCATCTACCAACATGGTTCAGAATTGAAGTTAGTAATTTCAAGCACTGATGCCATGTTTTAGTTTGGCCGCCACTAAGTTTCTTTCAACCATCCCCAATACCAGTCAGCATAGCGCGTCGTGGTAATCGGTGTTCAAGCATTCGTAACATGTGGCCCAACCATTTCAGTCGATGAAGATTCATGACCTCATCAACTGATTTACCATCATGTGAAACGTCTTACTTTGTGTTTGACTGACTGACTTCTATAATAAGGTGTGTATTTTCCTAAACTTTTCATTTCCCCTAATATAATTTGTCATTTCCTATGTTCAATTTTCATTACAACTGATATTGGAAATTCCATGTTTTTTCATTGGTTTTCATCAATTGCATTAATTTCTCCTCACACGATGTTGATGTGAAATGAGGTAATTTCTATCGATGTTAATTCGTATAAAGTCATGTATTAGGATCAACTAACAGACAGATACACTAATCTATCACACGTTAGTAACCAAAGTTCTGTTTTACCAGTCAATTCATCCAATGCGATCCTTTAGGCGGAATGATTCGAGATCGTAGCATTGTTCAATAAACTAAAACACTTTGCCAGTATGCTGTGCATTCAAGGGCCTGAATAATAAATTTCCTTGGTATGTAGCTCTCTCCAAAAAAATGTTATTAAACTAATTATCGAAAACTAATAATTTTTGTTTAGAACTCTTTAGGAGTATACATTATGGTTTCTGTATAGTAGATGAATACAATGGTCTTGAATGCTGTTAGAGGTATGAGGGCAGCTATCACTTCCCGGTTGCCCACACCGTGGAAGGGTTCTTCTAGAGGTACCTGAAAATGAAATCCGGTTAGGAGTGGTCTTAATGACCTGAGAGCGTGACCACAGTGCCTAAGGGACAACTGCTTGAGGTCGGTCACACACAACCTTTTTGTGGGTAGTTTTTGTGTTAGCTCCTTTCTTGTTGGAACCTTACCACCTGAGACGGATAAGGTGAGGTGTAGATTTTTGGGGTCGACCTTTTCTAATCTCACCCCTTCTTGTGGGAAGGTAGCATGGCTGCTACGCTAGTTGTCTGAAGGAAACACCTTACTAATGTCACACCTCTGTACAGTCAGCAGTACGAATTCGCCTTCGGACCTTGGGTTTGCTGCTTTTAGTCTTACCGCTCTTCACCCGACCTGTCTGGCATGATAGAACCTTGAGGAAGGATTGTTCGAGCCAGTATAGCTCGATTGATTCATGACGATAGGCAAGCCCGACCACCACGTCAAGATAGCAGCAACGGTCATCTTATTGTGCTAACGAGGTATGGCAACTTGGACCGATGCATATATGTGCCTGGTCCTACGTTGTAGCTGACTGACTAACTGTATAGTAGATCGAACATCTAACCTAAAGGTGTTGATGATATCAATGTGATATTGATGTTATACATCTTAGTTCAATGGACCAAAATGACCCCAACATCACAAACTTAAAACTTCGATATCTAGATAGGTTGAATATACTGTTTCATAATAGCATAAACCAGATTTGAAAAATGTCAATACATTGAGATGATGGAGAAGATTTTTAGTTCAGGTGGATGATTTTGATGGAGTATGGTTCTCTGAGCTGAATAGACAATGATAGCTCTACGACTAAACCATCCAGCTCAGAGAACAAAACTCCATCAAAATATCAATACATTAGATTTACTCTTTCCAGAAGTTCAATTTTCATGTGTAAATTCCGGTTATTTCGTCAAAAGATGAACATATAAAGTATCTATAGAACAACTTACCTCACATAGATTCACATCCCAACTATCACAGTTGCATAATTTTAATCTGTCATATAATCGGATAGATTTACATTTATCTACAGATAACAAATTATCACCGGTAGATATATCTTTATCATTGATATTCGTTTCTATGGTGTTACAGGGACCTAAACCAGTGATATAGAGTTGAACTGGATGTTTAGCACGTCTATTGAAAGAATAACAATTAGCTACCTAGAGAATGTAGAAAAAATATACAAACTTTAAATTGATCTCATTAGGCAAAATCATTATAACAATCTATGAAATAAATGAATCCGACTTACTTTTGTTCGTTAACTAAGTTGATGATTTGAGACTACTACTCATTTTGCCTTTAAGCACTAGAGACTCTCATGGGGTTGGTCATTAAATTATTATTATTATTTAAACACATAAATATTGGTACATGGAAGCACCAGATACACACAAATCTCATTCGATTTGTGTGAGGGCTGTGATACTGCCCAAGTGTCGAAACTGAAGCAGATGGTTTCTTAGGGAGCCACACCCGGAGCCTTTGACCTAAAGGTCTGATCCCCAAGGCAGTGAAGCATCGTAAGGAGATGTAGTCCCATGGTAGCTTGGTCTTCCCCCACCTGAGTTCTTCGTTCAACACAACACTAAAATTCAGTCAGTCAGCTACAACGTAGGACCAGGCACATTTATGCATCGGTCCAAGTTGCTATACATCGCTAGCACAACAAGATCAACACCGGATTCATAGAAGTAGTTAATTCAGTGGTGGTAATATATAAAAAAATGATTGTATATAAGGATATAGTACAGGAAAAAAGATAGATATGAAGCGATTTTATTCTCAAGATAAAGAGTGTATACACCTACGCCATTGTGATCGATTCTGAGCCATGTCACCTGGAGTCTCCAACCATTGGTTACGATGATCCCGCGGACCCCAACCAGGTAGTCTGCATCTGCCAACATGGCTCAGACTAGAAGTTAGTAACTTCATGCTCTGATGCCACGATTTGGTTTGGCCGCCCCCAACTCTTTTCCAACTATCCACTACACTAGTCAGTATTGCGCGTCGTGGTAATCGGTGTTCAGGCGCCGCTCAAATCTCATTTGATTTGTGTGAAGGCTGTGATACTACCCAAGTGTCGAAACTGAAGCAGATGGTTTCATATGGGGCCACACTCGGAGCCTTTGACCTAAAGGTCTGATCCACAAGACAGTGGAGCATCGTAAGGAGATGTAGTCCCATGGTAGCCGGTGACCAACGATTGATTCATACACCATTTGTTCACTCAGGATACTGGAACCTATGTGCACCATTGATTTGGAATGAGGGTTTTCCAACTCCTCTAGATGGACTCGCCGTATCCACCAATAATATATACATATTATCGAATATACATCAAAACTAGTGATTATGGATTTATCTACTTACCTGATTAGCTAATTTACATATATCTTTAAAAGACATTAAATGATCATATGAACAATCAATGACAACTTTAGTTTGACATAATGAATCGGACATTTTTAAACGTTTATAACATTCCGACTTGTGTGAAGTCAGTGTATTCTTCGGAATGGAAAGATTCTCTGTTGATACATAAGTATCATTATCCACATTATGAACAACACACGATGATGATTGTTGTTCCTGTTGCTGTTGTTGTTGGCGGATTTTACGACGTTCCTTATACACTTTCCTTATTTCACGTCTTGCCTATTATATATTGAGAATTTTTTAAATTTTCTAGATAAATTTAATTATATTTTATACAAATTACTTCTTTACGCTTTAAATATTGAATCAATTTACGATTTGGTCGTTTTGATAGGCCTTCTTCATTAGTTATAGGTATAGTCTCCTAAATAAAGAAAAATAGAAAGGAAAGAATGATATTTCACATTAAACATTAATGAATACACCTTCAGTCAGTCAGTCGGCTACACCTTCAAGAATAAAACGATTTGATAACCAACATCTATAATAACATTGTCTTCAAATAAATAATGAAGGAAGTTAGAAAACGTTGATCCCAAAAATAGTACATGTTACTTTGTTACATAGATTACCGTCGACGGCAGTAAAGTTTAGATATGTGTGATTGGCCTCAGATAGTTGTCTCTAGAGCACTGTGATTACATTCTCAAATCATTCAAACCAACAATACAATAATCCGGTTTCTTTCTCACGTTCCCTAGCAAGAAGTATAAATCTACGGACTGACTAGTTAAGAAGTGATGTACCATGCTTAGTGTTGACTATTCATTAAATGTATACAAACTATGGGTTAAATGGACAATTGCACCTAAGATACTACCAAAAACGTGACAAAATATCTTCAACAAACAATTCTATCATATTATTACTATTCTTATTTAAACACATAAATATTGGTACAAAAAATCACCATATACATAAGAGCCGCACAAATTTCAGTTGATTTGTGCGAGGGCTGAGATACTGCCCAGGTGCCCAAACGAAAGCAGGTGGTTTTCTTAGGGAGCTACAACCGGAGCCTTTGACCTAAAGGCCAAAACCACAAGGCAGTGGAGGATCGTAAGGAGATGCAGTTCCATGAATGCCGTTGACCAACGATTGATTCACACTCCGTTTGCTCCCTCAGGTTACTGGAGCCAGCCCATGTGCACCAGTGGTTTGGAATGAGGGTTTTCCAACTCCCTTGGATGGGCCCACCGTATACACCAACCCGGTTAAAGCGCCAGACATTCGCTTTTCGTCCTCTCAATTTCGTAAACAACAGTAACGCCACGAAAAGGTAGTGAGTAGGACTACCCTGTCAGAGGCTATATACGCTTGGCCATGTGGGGGCATTTCGAGAAAGAGAGAGAAAACTTACTCTCACCACTCTCCGCCGTACCAGAGCATTTGGAGGCGGATTCTTCAGTATTGATCTGATAGAAGGTTCAATGTCAAGAAAAAGAAATATCATTTCTATACTACACTTGATGTTACAATGTTCAAACATATGACTGAGGATGATGACATAACCAATAGATAATAGAAAGTATATTGTAAAAGTTGGAACTAGTTGTTTGAATAATTATTAATTATAATTACATTTTATAATTACTAAGTAACTAGTTTATTGTGCATACATTTCAATCCCATTAACTACTGTTATACAACTTAATATTCTTAATTTATTGGTTATCTATAGCTCGCAACCTCTTCTATATAAAGCCACTTTCGGTTTCTTCATATATGATTGTCAACCAACACCAAAGTCAGAATTTCTAATACAAATGTTAAGACAGTTCTACTGTATGGAATGGAAACCTGGAGAACTACGAAATCCATCATCCAGAAGATACAAGTGGTTATTAATAGCTGTCTACGCAAGATACTTCGCATCCGGTGGCCAGACACTATCAGCAACAAGTTACTGTGGGAGACAACAAATCAGATTCCAGCGGAGAAAGAAATTAGGAAGAAGCGCTGGAAGTGGATAGGACACACATTGAGGAAATCACCCAGCTGCTTCACAAGACAAGTCCTCACATGGAATCCTGAATGTCAAAGGAGAAGAGGGAGACCAAAGAACACATTACGCCGAGAAATGGAGACAGACATGAAAATAATGAACAAAAGCTGGATAGAACTAGAAAGGAAGGGTTGGAGAATGCTGGTCGGCGGCCTATGCTCCGTCGGGAGTAACAGGCGTAAGTAAGTAAGTGATGTGATCTGGTATACTTATATATAAACCACGCCTATTTGATATATAGATATTATAGAAGTTGATTGATACTTCTGAATTCAACGCACAACTTAGAAAATAGTTTGCGAATAGTCAGTGCACCTATTGAAAATAAGTGGTCAGTTCAAGGTTAATGGTACTGGTCGGGCATGTAAATGATCAAGTCACTAAAATCAGCATTCTGATTGGTCATTTTGGAATATGACATTAGTCAAAGATCTAAAAGGACATAACAATCACAGCACTCTCATGTAACCATATTATACAACGACCATGGAATCGAAACACATCTAGAAAAAAAAATGTATCCATTCCAAAAACACAAGCAAGTAAAATATCTATTAAATCAAAAAGAAAAACGGTTTACTGTTTCCATGTTGTCAAGATGCTCTGTATTCATTATGATTAGTGATTCTTCCAATAGAAGAGATTAAATAACCTAAAAATGAAGGTATAAATAATGATATATGTTAAGACTTGTAATAATTATGTAATATTCATGATTACTGACAATATTCGATAGGATCTACTTGCTTACGGATCATAATGTTACTTTTTTTTTGAATTCTTAACCATTAATGTTTTTCTTCAAATCAATACTGTACTGGTTTAAATTCACTTGATATTGTTTGAATGAATCTTCCCATTGGTGATCAGGACTGCAATTGATTAGTCTCTTATTGGTATATGTACATACTATGGGTATTGCCTGAAGTCATAAGCATCATAAGCAGAGATGGATAGTGGCTAGTAGTGGAATCCAGGATGTGCGTTTTGTTCTATTTGCGACTCGTCAGGTGGATGTATCTCCATCTTAGAGTTGATGTTCACTCTGGGACTCGAACACAGTATCGTTCGTTTTACTTAGCTAGCCACAAGCCACATCTTGCTTGAGAATTAAGGCTATATCGAGGCAATACGCACAGTATGCATTGATTAGTCAAAGTATATTAACAGTATTTTCTTAGCTTTCAAAAGCTTTTCCAATAACTTATCAACATCAAGACGAAGATTATCAGAACTATATACCTATTTAACAGGCTTGATCGTGGTTGCACTAATGACGCTATTGATGATGTTAAGTTGTTAGACGAAACTTTAACGGAAAATGGCTACCCCCTTAAATTCATAAAAAGATAGCCTACTGTATGAGAAAAAGCCTGTCTATATCACCTTACCATTTACAGGTGATTCAAATAACCTTTTATTGAAACAAAGGCTTAAATCAGTCATTAACAGGACGCACTACGCAGTACAGGTCATTATCAAAGAAAGAACAGAGTCTATGCTTCATCAAAAACCTAAAAGACATAAAAACGATTAAGTCATATCCCACTGTGTTTATCAATTTAAATGTGTATGTAGTCACACATACATAAGTAGGGACAATCGTGGTCTCAAAATTAGGGTATGTGAACATGTACCTAAATGGTGGCAGAAACAAATAGAATCAAATAATCCTATAGGAGTAGAAGATAAACATTCATCATCCTCTACTGTCAGACACCTAATTAAAACAGTTCATAAGATTGATCTTAACTCGGCTTTTGTGATGTTGTACAAAAGTATAAAAGAGCGTATACTAAGGTTTATTAGCCATACGAAAATTTAAACCCCCTTTGTGTATTCAAAAACAGTTTGTTACCACTTTAAACCTACCCTGGTAACATTAACGTACTATCCAGAGTGATTAGGGTTCAAATTGTTTTCACAATATTTTCTTTATTATCTTTGTCTCCTCTTACCCTCCATTTCTAGTCTAGTTTAGTTGTTAAAAAGTATATTACACGTGATCAGATGGTTAGAAATGTATTTTGCTATTTTATATCATCACATAGTTCTGATAATCTATTATTATTATTATTACACTGTGGTGTGGGTTACTTATATTCATATAAGTAGTATATGGTGATGGTCAGGCATAAAATGTATTTTGGCAGAAGATCATTAAGGAAAGAACAGGAACGAAGCGCAACCGGTATGAAATTGCATGAACATTGAAATCAGAGAAGACAGATTTATATTTACAGAAGGAACAGTTAAGATTGAGACAAGTGATTGTTATTTTGCAAATTAACTGTTTGATGTATTTGCATAGTTGAAAGCGTGAGTCAATTGAAGCTAGACCACCAAGGAAAACCTGGAAGCACTGGATGGCCGTTTCGTTCTATTATGGGACTTCTCAGTGGCAGTGCGCATCCACGATCCCGCCTCACGAGGTTCAAACTCAGGACCTACATGTCTCGAGCCGGAGCACTTAACCGATAGACCAATGAGCCGGCATCCCATGGTGTTTATGTCTAACTTCAACCAATCCACGAAGTTAAGCAACTGTTCACCAATTGTCTTCAGTGAGTTTCTATCTCACGACAGACGTGGTTTGAACTCCACTGGTCACTGCTTCTCACCAGAGCTTCAATTGACTCACGCTTTCAACTATGAAAATACTAAATCTCCACAAAATCACCCTTCTGATATGTATTAATACTTCAATTATCTACCCGAAGTTTGTACTGATGATGTCATCCAGAAGAAAGATGAAAGCTTCATGACCAAATCATCCAACTCCGAGAACAAAACTTCATCAAAACCTTTTTAAAGTTTTTTCATCGTGAATTTGATATTAATAATTTAAAGCAATTAGTCCTTTTGATAAATGTCGATAGTATTATAGTGAATGAGGACATGGGTGGAGACAATCGGATGCATATAAGCACAAATCACAGACTATCTTACTAACATCTGCAGTGACCAGTGGAGTTCAAACCACGTCTGTCGTGAGATAGAAACTCACTGAAGACAATTGGTGAACAGTTGCTTAACTTCGTGGATTGGTTGAAGTTAGACATAAACACCATGGGATGCCGGCTCATTGGTTTATCGGTTAAGTGCTCCGGCTCGAGACAGGTAGGTCCTGAGTTTGAACCTCGTGAGGCGGGATCATGGATGCGCACTGCCACTGAGAAGTCCCATAATAGAACGAAACGGCCATCCAGTGCTTCCAGGTTTTCCTTGGTGGTCTAGCTTCAATTGACTCACGCTTTCAACTATTAATACAGAAACAAATAAACTATATCCACACTCACACACACACTTATGTAGATACAGGGCAAAAAAACAAAAATGTATGAAAAATTTATTTATTTACATGTTTTTCCCTTTAATTGAAACATAAAAGATTTCTTCATATTCATAATTATTAATTATTAAATGTAAATACAAGATTCTATAGTTGAAATCATGAATCAATTGAAGGTAGACCACCATGAAAAACCTGAAAGCATTGGACGGCCGTTTTATCTTATTATAGGACTTCTCAGTGACAGTGCGCATCCACGATCCCATCTCGCTAATCCCACAACAGAACGAAACGGCCGTTCAGTGCTTCCAGGGTGGTCTAGCTTCAATTGATTCATGATTTCAACTATATAAAACTAAAGGTTAGCTCTACATTTCTTTCGTATTTTAAAAGTAAATAATTCTTGTTTATCTAAATTCATATTTTCATTATTACAATGAACAACAATAGAAGCTGTATTATTATTATTATTCTGTAGCATAGATGTATTATGAATTACACTTGATCCAGTAGTTACAACGGATGATGATGATGGCGACGACGACGATGCTGCCGCTGCTGCTGATGATGATATAACATTCAATGGATTATTTGATTTATATTTTATAAATAAAGCAATAAAAAACCCATTTGTTAAATCTTTTTCAGATGATCTTATACATGATTCACATTGATATAAATCAGATAGACCACGATGTTTCCAAATTGGTGTCATTACATTATGCATCATAGAATTAGTAGATGATGATGATGGTATATAAGGCCAAATTGTTTCTAAATAAAATTTATCTGATACATAATTAGCTATTTCACGTACAACTGATTCATTTTCCTAAATAGATAGCCATACAAAAAAGAAAAAAACATGCACAATGAATATAGTTATACCCTGATAAGAACAGGGAATTGTAACTTTGGAAACTAATACTATGCATATATTGTCTATCATATATCCTGGGACCACCGAGTGAGTAATGCAGTTGTAAGGAAACGGGTATAAGGTATGGATGAAGTAGCGAAACTTCATCGATTGAGGTGGCTGAGACACGTGTTACGTATTTCCAACCACTGACTGTCCCGACGTGCAATGTTTTATTGCGTAAGAGTAGGTTGGAAGAAAGCTAGGGTTGTCCAGACCAAAACGTGGTACAAATCAATGAAGTCACTGACAAGTGGACTGGGCCATGTTGGTGTGTGTAGACAACCTGGTTGGGATTCGCGAGATGATAGCAACCGATGGTTAGAGACCTTGAATGACATGGCTCAAAATCGTTTGCAATGGCGAAGGTGCATACACTTTGTGTTCTACCAAATTCTAATCTTCTGAATTCCTCATGTCTCTATCCTTTCTCTTTTCAAATTTATTTCACCGGATTATACTCCTTGAATAATATCTTCAAACCCTAACCTTTCACATTAATGCTTATACTCTTACTACTTCTACCACTACGGAATTTGAATCGACAACTGCATCTCTGTGTTAATGTGGTATGGAAACTCGAACTGATGTAAGTTCTACGTTGTAACTGACTGACTAATTGAACTGTTAAATTATAAGCTTTATATTGACTTATAAACTATTGTCATACAATTTACCGTTCTTGAATTATGCCATATCTATGTCTCCACACATTCACAGCCACATTTAGCTGAATCTTGGCTGGGCTAGGCAGAAAGCAGGACCGGCAAGTACTCAAAACTGCTCGTACGGGTTTCATGTGTCATTGATCCGATCGAAAAATCACTGCTCTCTAATTGGCTGTATTATCACGTTATACATTAACAGGGCATCCAGAAAGACCACAAGTTATGATAAATATCATCATCATTTCAGAATAAAACTTCTTCAAACAAATTGAAAACAAATTTTATGAGCTTACTGAATTATAATGACATATTCAGTGTATTAGAGCAAAGTTATATATGAACAGTTCTATTTTTCAGCAGATAACTAAGATTGTGACTAGTAGTGGAATTCACTATGAACACCTCATTCAATTTGGTGCTCGTTAACTATATCCCCAGTGTTGATTTTTTTACTGGGACTCGAACGCAGTATTCACTTTTTTCAGACATCAATGTATTACTGATAAAGTTACCAAGTACAGGCAACTACTAGCTTGTAAAACGACTATGAATTTCATCTTTGAGGGTTTGTATTTTCCTGTTCTTTATGTTAGAAACTTAAATGTATCAGTCTTCATTTTTTCAACTGTGGAATCCACGCACGTTCAAATGACGGGTCCTAAATAATACGAAAGCCGAGTCCTGGATTCTGCAGTCAGTCAGTCACAACGTAGAACTTCGTACGTACATACATCAGTTCGAGTTGCCATACCACATTAGCACAGAGATGCAGTTGTCGATTCAAATCCCATAGTGGTAGAAGTAGTAGGAGCATAATCAGAAATCCAAAAGATTAGGGTTTGAAGAAATTATTGAAGGAGTATAACACAGTGAAATAAATTTGGAAAGAGAAAAAGATAGAGGCATGAGGAATTCAGAAGATTAGAATTTGGTAGAACACAAAGAGTGGATGCACCTTCGCCATTGCAAACGATTTTGAGCCATGTCATTCAAGGTCTCTAACCATCGGTTGCTATCATCTCGCGAATCCCAACCAGGTTGTCTACACACACCAACATGGCCCAGTCCACTTGTCAGTGACTTCATTGATTTGTACCACGTTTTGGTCTGGACAACCCTAGCTTTCTTCCAACCTACTCCTACACCATGAAACATTGCACGTCGGGGCAGTCGGTGGAGGGGCATACGTAACACATGTCCCATCCATCTCAAATGATCAAGTTTCACTACTTCATCAATCGATTTGCCATCCATACCTAGTACCCGTTTCCTAACATCTGCATTACTTACACGGTGGTCCCAGGATATACTAGCAATGCTTCGAAGACACCTATGATCGAATACTAGTAGCCTACGAATATCCTCTACTCTTACCGGCCATGTTTCACTGCCATAAAGAAGGACGGAGCGAACTGCTGCACAGTAAACCCGTCCTTTGGTTGCTAGACGGACATCTCGCCTACGCCATAAATGGCGCAAGTTGGCGAAAGCTAGACGAGCCTTCCGTATCCGTGCTGAGATTTCGTCACATACCAGGCCAAAAGGGCTGATGAGACTCCCAAGATAAGTGAAGTGGCTTACACGCTCAACTACTTAACTCCCTATCATTAGTTCAGGTGTCGCTGCAACCCAATCCTGAAGTAACATTTTGCACTTCGAGGGAGAGAATCGCATCCCGAACATGCCTGCATAGTTACTTATAGTGGTCAGAAGACTGCATGTTATCAGCGTCTTCACCGAGTAAAACTATGTCGTCGGCGTATTCTAAGTCAACAAGTGAATCTCCTGGTAAAAGTTCAACTCCTGGAGGTTTAGCTGATGAAAGTGCTATCTCCAAAAGTATGTCAATGACAAAGTTAAACAAGAATGGGGAGAGTGGACAGCCCTGACGAACACCACTTGAGGTAATCAGTTCTGATGACAGTTCGCCATAGGCTCTAACTCTACCAGTTGTGTTCGAGTAGAGAGCCTTTATGAGGTTAATGTACTTCTTTGGTACTCCTTTCAGTGACAAACAATGCCATAGAACATCACGATCAACGGAGTCAAATGCCGCCTTAAGGTCAAGAAATACTACTATTGTGGGACGTCTGAATGTATGTCTATGTCCTAGGACCTGACGTAGGGTGAATATCTGGTCTATGCAACCACGTCCAGGTCGAAAACCTGCTTGGTTTTCTCTAGTCTGCTCTTCACGAGCTTTGGTTAGGCGACCTAGTATTATTGAAGCTAATATTTTAGACACTATGTTAGTCAAACTGATCCCTCTGTGATTGTCACAGGAGGACTTTTGTCCTTTCTTATAGACTGGCACAATCAGTGATTGGGACCAGTCAGATGGAATTACGTCCAGTTCCCAGATTCTACCTAAGACCTCAGTCAATCTCACTGCTAGTACTAGACCACCATCCTTAAAAATCTCAGGGGTCAACCTGTCAGGGCCTGCTGCTCTCCCTCGCTTCAGATTTCCTATAGCTTTTTCAACCTCACAGAGGGTTGGAGGACTTACATCAATTTGCCATTCAGGACGACTGAGGATCGTGGGTAATTGAAGTGTGGCTAAAGGCCAGTTGAACTGATCTCTAAAGTGTTCTACCCATCGATCCAATCTCCTGGATTGAGAATGAATAATATGCCCATCTTTATCTGAGATGGTTTCACTGATACTCGGGTTCCTAATACCGGTTTCTTTAACGAGTCTGAGTAGCTGCCTACTGTTACTTATTGCCGCTGCCTTTTCCATCTCTCTTGCTTTCGCTACCCACCACTGTTCACGATCATTACGTAGGCTTCTTATAAGCCTGCGCTTAAGTTGACTCCGCTCTTCGTTATGTTCAGAGCCAGGTGGGATGAGTTTACGAGCATCTATCAGTGCGGTAGATGCTGCCAAGATCCATTGTTTCTCCCTAACGTTATGGTTTACCTTACTAGCAGATATCACTGCTATTTCCACAGCTTTTCGGATGTCATTCCACGCTGCCTCGGGGTGGACACAACTTACATGGCTGCCTAACTGTTTTTCTAGTTGTTCCTGAAATATATTCTTAGCTTGCCTATCATTAAGTAGAACCCTTAGAGGCTTCCCTGCAGTGTCTTTCCTACATCCAGTAAGACGCAGACATACATGCTCGCACTAGAGCATGATCTGAATCTAAACATGTGCCCCAGAATGAGCGACAGTCTTCTATCGAGCCCCTCCATCGGTGGCTGATAGCGATGTGATCTAATTGGGTCCAACGTTGGGACGAAATCGGGGGTCGCCATGTCAAAAGATGTTTTTCCTTATGCTTAAAGTTAGTATTTGCAAGAAATAGGCGGTTATCTGAGCATAGCTGCAACAGACGGTCGCCATTATCTGTTCTTTTAGCAACGACACCATAAAATTCACCCAGGTGTCTTTCCCTTTCACTTAGTTTACCTACTTGAGCATTAAAGTCACCTGCTACAATTACTACATCAGAACGCCTAGCTTCTCGGAGAAGGTCAGAAAGTTTCCTGTAGAACTCATCTTTTATATCGTCTGAGCTGCAGTCAGTGGGAGAGTAGGCAGAGACGACGAAGAGGCAACGACGAGTTTCCCAATCTTCCCGGGTCCTTACTGATCCGTTTAGTCGGACAGCGCATAGACGACTGCTGTTGGTTACTATTCAACCTTACCAAAAGTTTGTAAATAGATAGCGATTTAGAGCTAAGCTGCACAGGATGCACACGTAATGAACAGAAAGAAATCAACTACAGTCTTTAATATCAAGAATGAGAAGACACAAACCACTATAAATAAAACAGTCAAGAGTTTGAGACGATGCTGACTTTTAATGGCTTCCAAAACTGAGTTGTAAATGGCATTGTTTTCTTCGTAAACAAAGTTTTATTATTGAGTTTGAGTACTTTTTTCTCAAAAAAAAACAACATTTGACAAGATTCCCAAGGGAAGTTACATCGGATATACGACAGTACAGCTTAGTCAAGTTAGAAAAAACCTCCCTTAGTGGTTGGAGAAAAGTCTTACGAAATCGTTGTGTAACCCTATTTTATCGCATTTGGTCGGTAGCGCGTCATGAAGCAGACACAGCCAAACCGTTTAGAGTGATCTAACGAATAACTCATTTCTACACATAGCATTAGTTTAAGGGACTCGAGCCAAGAACTTTAGTTATTGTTTTTAAAAATGTTTGTAATACCTATGTTCACTAGGTAGACAAACGATGATACTAATTCTGACCATTCTTTGATTTTTTTTCTACTTTACCAACTACATCCTGAGACTGACTAACTCTCGACTTAGAATTTCGTGCAGATTGACATACACTAAGCAACTATTTAGGTGTTAATATATCATGGTGCTGCTAACACTATGGATTCACCACACAGCAGTAACACTTCCAAAACAATTGTGACTATACAGTAGTAATCTATCCATATATTCTCAACGTTCACAGATCAAGTTAGACTCTGTTAGGATATTCACAAGAATATCCCAAAAATTATCTCGAATGTAAGCGGTATGTTTTCAGGCTCTTCACATAATTCGCATGTTATTTCCTATTGGCCATTATTTACAATTGTCCTAACTATGACTTTCATGTGTCGTTCCCCTATTGGTCAATTTTGAGTTGTCCTAATTATAACCTTTACGTGTCCTTCCTTTACATTGGTTACTGTCAATAGTCATCGTAACTGTATAAATATGTCTCGTCTGTAAACCATTTTTGTTCTGCTGCTGACCCCATAAACAATTCTCATTTGACGGCTGTGTTCTGATTTATTGGAGTTGGGGAACAGTATTGGGGTCGAACTAGGATATCTGAATTTGGTCAATCGGTAGAATTTCGTGTAGACCTATTGCGATATGTAATACTTGGGCGAATTTATATTACACTCCCTTAAGATAAACAGAGATAACTGTCAAGCAGTATACAGATTCCCTTAAATTTACCCGAAATGGATATTATGTAAAACACTTAATATTAAAATGTGACTCAATAATCTAGCCATTTAATTTTCAAAAACGGGATCAGTAAAGTTGAATCGTGGAGAGCAGTGAAATCCAGGATGGATGTTCCATTCTACTTGGAACACGATATCTAGATGTATATAGGACATTCTAGTGCTGTTGTTCATGTTGGAGTTTAAACGCAGTACATTCCCCAGGTACATACAGCTGACGATCCCTAAAGTGGACAAAACGCGCATCCACTGCTAGTCACAATCCAACTTTACTAAAAAGTATAATCGGAACAATCTACCGAGTATGCGCTTATCTTAATAAAAAATGATCGAATGAAGTCCATAATAATATTAACAATGGATTAACTCTAACGCTTATGTATGTAAAGCATTGAATTATGTCATTATAAAGTTGTAGAGAACGTTGAGTTTCATTGAAATCATGGTCGATTTATGATTTCAATGAAACTCATTGCATTATGTGTTAGGAGTAGATCTTTATTATAGAAGGGGGTTTTGTGGAAATTTTAGTAATTTTATATAGTTGAAATCATGAGTCAATTGAAGCTAGACCACCATGGAAAACCTGAAAGCACTGGACGGTCGTCTCGTCCTATTATGGGACTCCTCAGCAGTGCGCATCCACGATCCCGTAAATAGGAAGAGAAAGGATGAAAAGATAAGGGGGACAGAAATGTACAACCAGAAGAACTCTCTCAGTTAAGAAGGTTATAACCACTCTCTATGAAGAAAGTAAAAGAAGGTTACAGCAGGCACGCCACTGGCTTCTTTTTTTATCTATATTTGATAACGTCTCTAGCCACTGTGTTGCACCATCTCTCGGACCCCAGCCAGGGAGTCATGAAGGACCAACAGAAGCTAGCCCTTTGCAGCTCTCTTTCATTCCACGACACCATGTCATACATTGACCTCCTCTCCGCTTTTTCCAACCGATCACAGAGTCATCAAATAATAAACGACGTGGAATTCTCTGGGACGACATTCGTAAAACATGTCCAAGCCACCGAAGTCAGTGTTTTAAGATGGTGACACCAATCGAATTATCGTCTCTGCGCCCGAACACACGATGCCGAACCTCTGCATTACTAACATGGTGTTGCCACTGGATGTCAGCAATCCTTCGGAGACAACGATGATCGAACACAGAGAGACGTCTAACATCCTCAACTCGGAGAGGCCAGGTTTCACAAGCATAGAGCAAAACTGCTCTCACCGATGCGTTGTAGATCCGACCTTTTACAGCCAGACTAACATCACGAAGGCGCCAAAGATGGCCCAGATTGGCATAGGCTGCTCTGGCTTTCATTATACGTGCATCAATCTCATCACTCACGCCACCACCAGCACTTATATAGCTACCTAGATACACGAACCATCCGTGGTGAGTACAGGATTATCAACAATATGATAATAACACAAAATTAGATTATCTTAAATGAATTCTTACTTCAGGATGTATTGAACATGTTGAATAGACAACACGTTGAACATTTGGAAATTTTAATGCATGTTTTAATAACATAGCTTGAAGATTTGATAATCGTTTTAAACGAGATGAATATTCTTCACTATATTCATCTGTACAATAATTATTATTATTTTTATGTGTGAATTTATCAAATTGTTCATCACCACCATCTGGTTGGCGAATTGATAAACCAGAACCACTACAAGAAGGATCAAGTAGAATTGATTGAACATTAGAAAATTTTGGATGATATGGATCTATGGATAAGAAATCTGAACAATATGCTTCAATGGATGGTTGTGAACTTTGAATAGATTTTTTATGTTTACTATGGTGTTTATTAGAATTAGACCAATCTAGTATTGACAATCGTTCTACTCCATTGACGACTAGATTTTCAGTAAGACGTCGGAATCTAAAGAAAAATTATAACATTTAATCTATTTATTTATTTATTTATTTAAACGCATTAACATTGATACAAAGAAGCACTAGATACATATGCGCCACACAAATCTCATTTGATTTGTATCAGGGCTGTGATACTGCTCAGGTGCCCAAACTGAAGCAGGTGGTTTTCTTAGAGAGCCACACTCTGAGCATTTGACCTAAAGGTCTGATCTACAAGGCAGTAGAGCATCGTAAGTAGATGCAGTTCCATGGTAGCCGGTGAACAATGATTCATTCATACACCATTTGTTCCCTCAGGATACTGGAGCCAGCCCATGTGCACCATTGGTTTGGAATGAGGGTTTTCCAACTCCCCTAGGTGAACTTTCCGTGCCCACCGACCCGGTTAAAGCGCTGGACATTCGCTTTTTGTCCTCTCAATTTCGTAAAGAAAACCCATCGTGCGAGAAGTCAGTGAGTAGGACTTCTCTGACAGAGGCTATATACGCGTGGCCATATGAGAGCATTTGGAGAGGGAGAGCGAACTCTCCCCACTCTCGGCTGTACCAGGGCATAAAAGACGAATATATGGATATTTGAAAGAAAATCTAGTGGTGCTTAAACAGCACTTTATCCTAACAAATCGAAACTAATATTTAAGGATTAATCTTTGCTGAATTATAATCATGTGAGGAAATTGCTAAGATGACATTTGTGTAAATATTTCGAAATCACTGAAGATAATGGAACCTATGGTCTTTCGGATGTGAAGCAGTTATCCACTGAGGACAATGAAAGATGTTCACGCAATATCATGGATTGATTGAGGCTAGATATTAACATTGTTGGATGCTGATTCAGTGGTCTAGAGCTTGAGAATTCACGAGCAAGACGGAAGGTCCTTATTATTATTGGCTTTATTCAATATTATATTTTTGGCACAAAATAGAATTCTCAGCACAAAGCATTTCAACAAATTTCCTTTTCTTATTTCTTGATCTATCCTTGCGATAAATATTGAGTGGTCGCCAGTTAGTTAGATGTTAGCAGTTCAAGAATCGACATTTGAATAATATTCATTCTTTTCAATGCATATTGCCAGCAACCATGATATTTCTGATTTGAATGTTTTATAATTTGTACAGCGGAATGTCGTAAACTTTTCACAAACGCACCAGAATAGGTTATGAGACTAATAGGCATAATGATGTGTCAAAACAAACAAAACAGATAACTTGTTGAAATATTCAGATGGCAGGAACAGATAGTCCAGATATTCAAGCAGGTTGCCTTGGTTGACTCTTGCATGCAAGGTCGCGAATGTGTACTACCGAGTCACATACAAGGGAGAAATCATCGTCTAGTACTTCCAGATTTCGAGTGGTGACCTAATTTAGATCAGTTCATGATTTTAATGAAATTCAACGTTCTCTATAACCCCTTACTGACGTTTGTTCGGGAGAACCAGAGTATTCCTCGAAAAAAAAACAGAGAGGCCCTGAAAACTCTGGGAAGCATTTTATCCAATCAATGTTGAATAGAAGTCTCTCGAAAACATCTAGAAAGTGAAGAGTCACGTGTCATATCTGTGATTGGATGACTACCCATACTGTTACTATGTACAGCAGGGTTTCAGAACCTTCCAAAAGTCCAAGGCCATCTGAAATGCCATAAGTACGCTCGAACTTCCGCACATGAACTAACATTTGTGTAAAGCGTTCCTTCCACGTTTCGCGCCTTTTCTCACGTGTTCAAGTTATCGTGTAGATTTAGCCAAAAGTTATTGAAAGAGCTTAAAAAACCTATCCAAGTGTTTATTCAAAATGTTTATCACCCTGATTAATATTTAAAATGCTGTCGTCATGCAATAGTCAATCAGAAACAAAATAGCTGTTTTCAAATCAATTATTGAACATGTCTTTAAAATCGCCCCCAAATGCCCTGGTACGGTCGAGAGTGGGGAGAGTTCACTTTCCCTCTCAAAATCCTCTCACATGGCCACGCGTATACAGTCTCTGCCAGGGAAGTCCTGCTCACTGACTTCTCGCACCACGGGTGTTGTTTACAAAATTGAGAGGACGAAAAGCGAATGTCTGGCACTTTAACCGGGTTGGTGGACACGGAAAGTTCCCCTAGGCGAGTTGGAAAACCCTGATTCCAAACCAATGGTGAACATGGCGTATGAATCAATTGTTGATCACCGGCTACCATGGGACTGCATCTCCTCACGATGCTCTACTGCCTTGCGGATCAGACCTTGAGGTCAAAGGCTCCGGGTGTGGCCCCCTAAGAAAACCGCCTGCTTCGGTCTGGGCACCCGGACAGTATCACAGCCCTCACACAAATCAAATGAGATTTGTGTAGCGTATATATATCTGATGCCCCTTTGTACCAATATTTATGAGTTTAAATAAATAAAAATAAATAACTTTAAAAAAAATGAACATAAGAAATAAAATTTATAAGAAATTTTTTTATCATCAAGATTGCCGAGTTCTACCTCAAAGTTATCAATTGTTTACACATTTAAGTGTGAATTTACAGTTGTAGCAATAATGCAGACAAGAATCTGTAATGTTATCAACCTTTAAAATCTAATTTACTGATATTCCCCGACCGTTGCTGCTACCTTGACGACGCGGTCAGGCTTGCCTATCGTGATGAACCAATCGAGCTAAACTGGCTGGAACAATCCTTCCTCAAGGTCCTACCAGAGAGGTCGGTTGAAGAGCGGTAAGACTTAAGGCAGCAAACCGAAGGTCCGAAGGCGAAGTCGTACTGCCAACTGTACAGAGGTGTGACGGCAGTAAGGTGTTTCATTCAGACAACCAGCATAACGGCGATGCTGCCTTCCCACAAGGAGGGGTGAGATTAGAAAAGGTCGACCCTAAAAATGCACACCTCAACTTATCCCATGGATATCCGTCTTCGGCAGTAAGGTCCCAACAAGCATGGAGCTTACACAAAGATTACCCAGAAAAAGGTCGTGTGTGACCGACCTCAAGCAGTTATCTCATGGCACTGCGGTCACGCTCTTAGGTCATTAAGACCATTTCACCAAGAACAACCCTTCCACGGTGTGGGCAACCGGGAAGTGGTAACTGCCCTCATACCTCTAACACCACTCAAGATCACTGTATTCATAATCAATCTCCTTCTTCAATTCCTACTATTCCTTCTACCTCGAATTTCAACACAAAACTTCCATTTTTCGGTTTCCTCCTCAAGTGCGCGAAACAGTGTCCCAGCTGACTGACTGAAATTACTGTTATTCATGATAGGTACAATACTAAAATTATCTCCAAACACTGATTACAAGTCAAGTTCCCCCCCCCACGAATAAATAGGTTACTTTCATTTCTATATGTATTACAATTAATAGTACTTAAAAATGCATAAAAAGAGAGAGAGAGAGAGAGCTAACCTGTTTGGATCACGATCTACAACGAAAATGGTTGATTTGTTGGACAACATAGAAATTAATTGTAATGTTTTATTTCCTGGAGCAGCACAAGCATCTAAAACATCTGAATTTGGATCTGGTTGAAGAATCTCTGGACTGAAACAACTGGCCTTTAAAGAAACAGTTACAAATAACACACTCAAAAATAATAATAAACAGTACAAATAGTAATATTTTGGCAAAAAGTAATGTTTGAATACAAATTCGGTATGATCCTTTAAGTTCATATTCAGCTTCTTTATATTCAGTGACTGACTAATTAACCTCACACCTCTTTCATCAATAACACAATGACCATAGAATACTAAATCTTGATAATTCAATAAGCTTCTTCTAAACTCAATAATACCCAGTCAGAATAAGAACCCAGCGAGTAGATAAACTGCACTCACTATTTCATTCCACTTTTAACAATACTAATCACAGAATCTGATTTCTTTTATTTATAACTTCTTGTTTCAAGAACTTCCTGCCCCCGAATGCCCTGGTACGGTCGAGAGTGGGAAGAGTCCGCTCTCCCTCTCCAAATGCTCCCACATAGCCACGCGTATACAGTCTCTGCCAGGGAAGTAATACTCACTGACTTCTCGCACCACGGGTGTTGTTTACTAAATTGGGGGGACGAAAAGTGAATGTCCGGTGCTTTAACTAGGTTGCTGGACACGGCGCGTCCACCTAGGGGAGTTGGAAAACCCTCATTCCAAACCAATGGTGCACATGGGCTGGCTCCAGTATCCTGAGTGAACAAATGGTGTATGAATCAATCGTTGGTCACCGGCTACCATGGGACTGCATCTTCTCACGATGCTCCACTGCCTTGTGGATCAGACCTTTAGATCAAAGGCTATGGGTGTGGCCCCCTAAGAGAACCACTTGTTTTCGTTTTGGCACCCGGGCAGTGTCACAGCCCGCTCACAGGTGCTCTTTTGTACCAGTATTTATGTGTTTAAATAGTAATAATAATAATAATCAAGAACTTCCTAGAAATAATAAGAAACATTTATTCAATGATCTTTAACTACTTTCAAATCATTGATCAATATGAAAAATGATAATTTCAACAATTATTTATGAAACTATACCTTGTCTTGAATAATTAGAGATTTGGATTTGTACAATTCTAAATCATATAAAGCAGTACCAGAAGGAAATACTAACAATAAATGAGGAAGATGATAATCTAACATGAATTCACCACGATCAAGTTTACAAACTTTCTTACGAAATCTACATAGGAAAGTAATGAAATAGTAATAATTTTTGAAAATTGACATGTGAGGAGATTGACTTTAATAGTAATCATTATAATATTTGTGCATGGACTAGGATACTAACCGGGCCCCTACACAGAATCAGGTGATTTCCTTAAAAAGTCCCACTCTCCAAGCCTCTGAACCAAAAAGTATACTTTACAAAGCAGTGGAACAACATCCCATAGGTAAGCAATCATCAAAAGTATGTTTATATTCCACTTGTTTCCTTAGAATTTTGAAGCTTGTGCACACCATTGGTTTGGACCCCAAATTTTTCCCTAGGCGAATTCTTTACATTCAGCATAATTGAGCATTCTATGTTAGCCACATTCTATCTGTTCTTTCTCTCTTTGTTTTCTACTAAGGCAGCTGGTTGGACTCGCTCTTAAAAGCTTGTACATTAGTAGCAATATCGGACAACAGTAAAACATAAAAGGTTCATTTGAGGTAACTTGAACCATGTAGTTCCCTTCTACGACTCCCACTCCAGTTATTTGGATATTTCAGTGCGATTAATCATGGTCTCTTATGTATCAGCTTACAATTCAGTTTGAAATCTAAAATGCGTACTTATGGACTTTATCCATTTTCGATAGTCATATACGCACTGTTTCCGAGTGAATACATTTATTAAAGATCCTACATCATTTTTTCTGTCCGTTCGTCATATATAGTGGTCTTGAGTGTTGTTAGAGGTATGAGGGCGGTCATCACTTCTCGGTTGCCCACACTGTGGAATGGTTCTTCTAGAGGTAACTGAAAATGAAATTCGGTTAGAGTTGGTCTTAGCCACCTGAGAGTGTGACTGCAGTGCACAATGGACAAGTGTTTGAGATCGGTCACATACGACCTTTTAATCGGTGTTAGCTCCTTTCTTGTTGGAACCTTACCGCCTGAGACGGATAAGGTGAGGTGTAGATTTTTGGGGTCGACCTTTTCTAACCTCACCCTTCCTTTGTAGGAAGGCAGCATCGTAGTCATGCTGGTTGTCTGAAGGAAACAACTTACTGCCGTTACACTTCTGTACAGTCAGCTGTACGACTTCGCCTTCGGACACTGAGTTTGCTGCTTTTAGTCTTACCGTTCTTCAATCGATCTGCCTGGCATGGCGGGACCTCGAGGAACGTTTGTTTCAGCCAGTACAGCCCAATTGGTTCATCACGATAAGCAAGCCCAACCATCACGTCAAGGTAGCAGTAACGGCCGTCATATATATGAACTAAAACAAGCAAAACGATTACCGGCGGTTGTATCATAGCTCTAAGATCTAGTATTTCAAATAGCCTTTTCAAAAAGCAAAATGGTGCTAACGGAACGGTATTAAGTGTAAAAGCGCATCACTGAAGGTATGAGTTTCACAACCCTTTTTTAAGCAGAATAAGTTGATTTTATAAAGTCAGAACATTACGTCTTAACATTAACAATCACTTCACCGTTTATAAGGTGAATGTAGTTTAAATAGAGAATGAAATATAAACAATCTGCCCCTTATCCTATGATCACATACAAGACAGACAAAGAACATTGAATCTATCTAGAAAATAAATAGCTAAAGATGTTAAACTGTAGATATTAGACCCCGACTGGGTAATGATAGTCATCTCACAGAAAAAAACAAACCCCAAAAATAACCATTTCCATTTCTTACTGACGGTTTAAGAGAAACAAAGAGAGATAGATGTTTACTTTCGATAAGAAGTTTCCGATCGATCATATTTCACATGTTTAAATCCACAAGTTTCAATTTTTTCAATAACATCAGTCAGTGTAGTTTTCAAGAAATTGACACGAGCATAACATGGAAGTAATCCTGAAAGCATAATTATATTGCACAATACAAACTTAGCATGAATGATTCTATTTAATTTAACGTAAACAAATCAAAAGTTGAAATACATAATGTTATATCCCCATAAAAATAGTGAATGGTAACTTTGGGATCCATTTATAGACCCATATTATGTATATAATTTTTATCGTATATTTGCTAAGTAATTAAACTATTCATATTCATGTTCCCCGTATTATGAGCTTTATTTTGACCCTTGGACTATTATTGTATGATTTACTATTCATGAGTTATCCTCACTCTATTAATTACTGCCTCCCATATTCACAGCCACATTTGGCTAAATCTTGTACAAATATGTATTTTCTAATTTATGGTACGATGTGGTCAATTTGTTTGGTATATAAACTCAGTATGTTTGAAATATAATGATTCATACCACGGAGGCTGTTATTGGTGTTCTGGACTTAACTGGCTGGGTTAGGCAGAAAACAGGATCAATAAGCACTCTAGACTGCTCATACGGTTTTAGTGTGTCACTGTTCCAATCGATAATTCGCTGCTCTATGATTGGCAGTCTTATCACGTCATAAATTAACAGGGCATCAACTCGGCCACAAGATATAACACATAACCACATATTGAAATAATAAATAAATAAAATTTGAACATTCTCAAGACTTTTGTCTCCAAACTAGTCAGCATTGACTGAGTTGGCAAAGCAGTGGGTTTAACGGTTAAGATGTTCAACTTTCAGCTAGTACGTTTGAGGTTTGAATTCCGTTCCACCTACTTTGTTCTAGGCATCTGAGTAGCAGTATCGTTAGACCCCATACCCAAGGTGTGGTTCATACCGGTAAACGTCAGGAAGTGACAAATAATTAATTTATATGGTTTAAAACATGACAGTAATTTGACAAAACAAAATGAAGACATTTCAGTAAAGAAAAATTTAATTAAGCTGTACAATAGAACTGATGGTTAATTTTACATGTGATAGTCTATACTAAAATATAAGAGTATTAAACTAGTTTGACTTAACTATGAACTACACTTATTATACCTAAGCTAAAAGTACTTTTTATATATTTACACTCTATGACACACACCGAAGTCAGATCTCGAGTACCTATATTTCTATTGATTGCATTGATGTTTCACCCATACGAATCCCAAATCAGTGCAAATTATCATTTTCAATGCCCCGAATGCCCTGGTACGGTCAAGAGTAGGGAGGGATCGCCCTCCATCTCGAAATGCTCTCACATGGCCACGCTTATATAGCCTCTACCAAGCTCTAGACCACTGAATCAGCATCCAACAATGTTAATATCTAGCCTCAATCAATCCATGATATTGCGTGAACATCTTTCATTGTCCTCAGTGGATAACTGCTTCACATCCGAAAGACCATAGGTTCCATTATCTTCAGTGATTTCGAAATATTTACACAAATGTCATCTTAGCAATTTCCTCACATGATTATAATTCAGCAAAGATTAATCCTTAAATATTAGTTTCGATTTGTTAGGATAAAGTGCTGTTTAAGCACCACTAGATTTTCTTTCAAATATCCATATATTCGTCTTTTATGCCCTGGTACAGCCGAGAGTGGGGAGAGTTCGCTCTCCCTCTCCAAATGCTCTCATATGGCCACGCGTATATAGCCTCTGTCAGAGAAGTCCTACTCACTGACTTCTCGCACGATGGGTTTTCTTTACGAAATTGAGAGGACAAAAAGCGAATGTCCAGCGCTTTAACCGGGTCGGTGGGCACGGAAAGTTCACCTAGGGGAGTTGGAAAACCCTCATTCCAAACCAATGGTGCACATGGGCTGGCTCCAGTATCCTGAGGGAACAAATGGTGTATGAATGAATCATTGTTCACCAGCTACCATGGGACTGCATCTACTTACGATGCTCCACTGCCTTGTGGATCAGACCTTTAGGTCAAAGGCTTTCTAAGAAAACCACCTGCTTCAGTTTGGGCACCTGAGCAGTATCACAGCCCTCACATAAATCAAATGAAATTTGTGCGGCTCATATGTATTCGGTGTCCCTTTGTACCAATATTTATATGTTCAATTAAATAAAATAAAAATCATTTTGAATAAAGTATGAAATGTTATATTCGATTTCCAGTTAAAGGTATAAGTTAGTAAATTTATCTCTAAAAATGGTAAAGATTTGTAGCTCAGATGAATGGTTTTGGTGGAGCTGCGTTCCCTGAACTGAATGGTTTGACAGTAAAACTTCTAACAGACTAGAAACCTCAATTTTACTAGTGATCAAGTCGAAAATGTGGACCCATTTTTTGAATGACACATTCGTCATCATTAAAAAGAACGAACTGGAAAACATCTACAATCTGATCAACAACGTCTTCGATGACAAAAAATTCACAATGGAAAAGGAATCGAAAAACGAACTATCATTCTTGAATGTACTGATCACCAGAATCGACATAGGAAAACCGAAGACCCAAGTATACTGGAAGTCAACTCACACAGATTAACTTCTCAACTACAGTAACAACAACCCAAAAACTTACAAAATTAACTGCGTATAAATTTTATTTAAAAGGGTGAAAACGTACTACAACACATTGACAACGCGAAAAAATGAAGAACGATATATAAAAACTATCTTTTTAAAAAATAACTACTCACACAAATTCAACGAAAAAAAATATCAACCCGATTCATCAGAAGGAACGAAACCGGATATACAAACCAACAAAAAAGATCATCTCACGATTTATAAAAGACATATTAGAAATCGCGAGGTTACTGAAGCCGTTTGGAATAGGTGTAGCACATAAATCAGCAAAATCACTCCAATGAATCTTATACAAACCAAAGGATAAAATAACAAACAGGGAAAAACAGAAAATCATCAACAAAATGAACTGTTCCAATTACGAAGAACACTCAATAAGACAAAGTGGACATTCCTTTCATCTTCACCTGAATGAACATCAATTAGCGATCGAACGCCATAACATATATCTGCTTATATTCATCTATGTGGACAGTTGTGGACACACAGTTGACTAGAAAAATGTTGGAGTCTTGGATAGAGGGAATGCTATAAACATCAAGAGAATTTTTAGAAGCTTAACCCTATGGTCACTCAACAAACACATCGAAATCGATCCAGTTTATCAACCAATCAGAAAAATCATGGACAAATATAGAATCAAGAGTCAGCTCAAATGGAGATCCAATCATAATAAATAGGTGGAAGATGAAAACAATAACCGATCAGGATCTCGTTCGAGAGACAAGCTGTGAATCATATATGGAGAAATCCGAACACTTAGCTTCACTTCTGACTGAAGTTTGTACTGATGGTGTTCAGAAAAACAATGAGCTCCACAACTGAACCATCCAGCTAAGAGGGCGAAACTCCACCAGAAAGTTATCTCTATACTATTCGATTGCCTAAGCTAATAAAACTTTTAAGTCGGAGTGTATAAACAAATGGTTACTTAATAGCAAGGTGCACACTCCCTTCGGAATGAATTATCGAGTTCTTGAGGGACGAAACACTTATTTTACCTTACTTACGCCTGTTATCCCCAATGGAGCACAGGTCGCCGACCAGCGTTCTACAATAAACTCTGTCCTCGGCCTTTTTTTCTAGTTCTATCCAATTTTTGTTAATTTTTCTCATGTCTGTTTCCATTTCTCGGAGTAATGTGTTCTTCGGTCTTCCTCTCCTCCTTTGGCCCTCAGGATTCCAAGTTAGGGCTTGCCTCGTGATGCAGTTGGGTGCTTTCCTTAATGTGTGTCCTACCCATTTCTAGCACTTCTTCCTGATTTCTTCCTCCGCTGCAGTTTGGTTTGTTCTCTCTCCCAGTGTGTGTCTGGCCAACGGATCCGAAGTATCTTGCGTAGACAACTGTTAATAAACACCTGTATCTTCTGGATGATGGCTTTCGTAGTTCTCCAGGTTTCCGCCCCATACAGTAGAACTGTTTTGACATTTGTATTGAAAATTCTGATCTTGGTGTTGGTTGACAATTGTTTTGAGTTCCAGATGTTCTTCAATTGCAAATATGCTGCTCTTGCTTTGCTGATCCGCACCTTCACATCTGCATCAGACCCACCGTGTTCATCACTGATGCTGCCCAGATATGTGAAGGTTTTTACATCCTCCAAAGTTTCTCCATCAAGTGTGATTTGATTGGTGTATGTTGTGTAGCATCGGAGAGTCTTGCTTTTCCCTTTGTGTATGTTGAGACCTACTGTTGCTACACTGGTCGTTTTCTCCTGCATTTGTTGTTGCATGTGAGATAGAAGAGCGTTAAAAATCTATACAAGACTTATATACTACATAACTTCAAGAGGTAACAACAAGGTAACCAAGGCCTTTACTTGAACATTGAATACAAAGATTTTTCGTTTGGAGTACGCTATCTAAACTGTGATTAGACAAACGAAATTAGAACCTACAACCAATTGATTGAATGCTAACAACTCAGACCCACAGTATTTAAAAACAACGTCGCATGCATAGTTTACTACAAATTAAGTTAAATGTTAAAGATTAAATATCGATAACAAACCTTTCTTTTGTCCTCGACTTTCTGTTTGTGAATTCAATAGCTTGTTAACTGATTTATAAGCATGACGAAGTTTTTTTGTAGCTGAAGCATCTTTGGTCACTTCATGAATTTGTGATAAAAGAAAATGATGTGATGTTTTCTTTTCTTTTAATAAATCATGAATTAAAACAAGGAAGTAACAATGAGCACAAGAATGGACATCATTATCCTCATTGTTATGATTGTTTTTTGATGATAAATGTTTGATTTTGGTTGTTGGTTGAAGATTAGCTTTTTTAAGGGTTTGAAGTAATATACCATATGAACTAAGAGTTTTTGATGCTAATGCATAGATTTTTCGTAAATTCTAGAAACGAATAAAAATAAGAGATAAATTTGAAATGACTTTCCTAAAAAATGTAGATAATATTCACTGAAACCATGTGACAACTATTGTGAAGTTATAAGTGATGGAAGATGGATAACCCGATTCAGTGAATGAAATGTGTCCTTAGAAAAAAAAGAAAATACACTACAGAATGTATGTAACGACATACACTTTTAAGGGACTGTAACCACGCTGATACCTGCTTGTAGAATACATTCTCTACACCTCATCAAGAATGGTTGATCTAGTTAGCATGGTCGTGGACAACGGATTAGAATAGCCTGTAGTGTCACTGTGTCCTGTGACCTTCGTTCCGTTTACCGAGTAAGGTGAACTCGTAATAGCATCAAGCATATCAGACTTTGCAGATCGGAATGCCTTATTTCAATAACTAATACGATCAGAAAACTATATAGATAAACTTTTGTGAAGGAATCTAAAGTTTTTATCGCAGTATACTACAATAATTAGTATATGACAACATTCACCTTATTCACAAGATAGTGATTGGCAGTGATATCTATTTGGACTTATTGCTGAAAAGCTAATGCAAGATTAAAAGTTGAGCACTTAAGTCGTTTTTAGTGAGATTTTATGATAATAGTAAAGAGATGGTTAGATATATACAATCACAAACCATTCAATAATCCAATAATCGGCACTCAGTGTACTCTTATGTAACTTTTAAATAAGGTTTTGACTGAGTATTTATTGACTATAATATGATGAAGCTTTCTTTGATAAAGTTAACGTTTCTTTGACGAAGTATAAGTGTGATACCGAAGAGTGACCTAAATACTGTAAAATCCTATGGTATATCATAATTATAAATGTCAAATGACACTGAAAGTTTGCTGCCAATAGCTTTGCTTATCCATGGAAAAGTGGAAAGCTGAAGATCACAGTCCCCCTATGTATTGAAGGTGATAAAGTACTCCAGTGAAGTGGTAGACAATTAAGTCTCGATATAGACAAAGAAATCATGATTATTAATAAGACAAGTTGGGCATGGCATTTCTCTTTATACATTACATTTAAAAGAAAAATTTGAACACATTACTTACGGTCGTTAATACCTAGCTAAACAATAGAATGAGTTTAAAGTACACAGTGGACCGACAAACGTAACAATCTGTCATTTAGTGGCAAGTTTAATACATTACATTTCCTTGTATCTAGCATATCAAGTTTAATTGTAAAGTAATCCTACTTCAGTGTTAGACAAACGACATTCTTGTAAAACTTATATTTTTGTGACTCTAATTCATGATTAAGCGTTTCTCATAAGTATTACACTTCCAAAAAAAGATATAATTTACTGAGTGCAACTAGAGTATTTCAACTGGTAATATTGTATGAGTAAAACATGTGTAAAGATTAATTATCTGAAATTCGTTGGGGAAGAAGGAAAAATATAAAACTATAGGCAGTTTTAAGACTTACGCATGTAAATTTATGAGTATACAAACCAGTTTTCAATCGACAAACTTGTCCTTTGACTAAACAAACTAAATAAGCAGCTTCCGTGTAAAAAGTGCTCAGATCGTTTTTCATGCCACGAAATGAAATGAAATTGACAGCTAGTGCGATATAAACACCGGAAGGTAGCAAACTGGTTTATTTTTAAAAAGATTAGGAAACATAATATTAAAATACAAAACAAGCTGTAAAAATCATATATAAAAGCTTAATAAAATTCATTAGAATCTAATCATTATAAACGACTATTTGTATTGAATATCTATTATAGAATGTATGTCTAACAGACTTTAAAGTTAAACAAGCTAAACCGAGACAGAAAACAACAGAACTTTCAACTGGTTGAGAAATAAAATTGGGATTTCAAACGGAGTTGCCGATACCGGGATAAGAGCAACGTTAAATATTGGCAGAAAACTAAATAAAGTATTGAATTTTAAAAGTGAAGATGTACAAAAAGTCTTAATAACGTTTAAGTTGAAACAAATAAACCAACTCATGTAATAACATAAGTTTAATTCGTTAAACTGTGAATAAAAGTAGGAAGAACACCATTGCAGTTCTGGTTTTTGACAACTACTGAATTTTGTGAGTGGTTTACACATCATACGGTGAGTATTCAGCCAAATAGCTAGAATATTAATTATCCCAATATCTAAATCAGTCGATTATTTTGGTCGGCCAGAACACTAGCAATGGTCCTAAAACGTATGATACACAATCAGTTTCAGTTTGGAAAGGACAGGAGGCTTGATGGCCTGTGTTAGCCCTGGCAATGATGGTCTCTCAGCTGATCCAACTTTCTTTTGAAGGAGTCGACGGATGGAGCTTCAACCACGTGCTGAGGCAATGAATTCCACTAGTTGATTATTCGATGAGAAAGTCGGTATTCAGCTGACAAGTAATTCGTTTGGGGCTTGTGAACTTTTTTGGAGTGTCCTAGTAGATTTTCTGTTTTGGAAGACAAGAAAAATGAGGGCATATCAGGTGCAAATTTGTCATTAAGCAATTTGAAAACTGTAATCAAGTCGCCTCTCATTCTTCTATATGACAGCGGGAATGGGTTTAGCTTGGCCAGTCTAGTACCATACGGGAGCTTCGCTATTCCGGGAATCAGCCTAGTCGCTGTTCTCTGAACCCTTTCCAAGAGTTCACTGTTTTTTTAGGCAGGGGCTAGCTGCTTGTATGCAGTACACTGTACACAAAGTCAGAAACATTTAAGCGTCGAGATGCCTAAAAGCCCTGTATATGGACCATAAAGTCCTAAAACCTTTGGCGGCTATTGCACGGCAGTGTGCAGTAGTCTTTAAGTCTTGACTAACGGTGACGCCTAAGTCATTGTGTGCCTGGACAAGAGGTGACTCAGTGTTATTCATCGTGTATGTATCTGTAACCTGGTGGCCAATATGCATCACAATACACTTGGAAGTGTTTATCGGCAATTGCCAGGTTCGGGACCATTCAGATAATCTCTCCAGGTCATTTTGAAGTTCTAAGCTATCGCCCTTTCTTTGTATCGCTCTCCATATCTTGACATCGTCAGCATAGAGTAAGACCGATGACGATAGTAGACGAGGGAGGTCATTTACGTGCAGGAGGAATAACACTGGCCCCAAAACTGTACCCTGGGGGACTCCACTAAGCACAGTTTCCCGGCTAGACAACTTGGAGTTCACCCGTACTCTTTGTTTACGCCCAACTAGGAAGTCTTTTATCCACATCAATAGACAGCCTCCAATCCCGACATTCCTTAGCTTATATAACAGCCGGTTATGCTGAACGAAGACTAAGTATTCAAGACTCAATAATAGGGCTTAGCTTTATGTCCACCAGTTGGAGCAGCATATGCTGCTATTAATATTAGTAGCTGCAGAGTACAGTAGCTTTGTGGTGCAACCAACGACCTACTCATGCATAAACCATGTATTTGAAATACTGATGTCATACAAATCTTCAAATAAAATCACTTATGTCAAAAAACTAGTATGTCTTTTACATTGTTTTAACTACCAGATATTGATGGGTTTTACATGTTGTGAACTGTTGATTCATGATAATATTAGTATACACTAGTATGATAAATATCATGAACCATTATGTACTTAATGAGCAAATGGATTTCCTTACTTAAGTGGTTATGTTTGATCAGTGAGAATATACATTTGAATAGAAATAGAAAGCTGATTACCGTTCTAATATCTCAGCTCCAGAAAAATTTTGTCAATTTCGGGGAAGACACGCTAGAAATTTTGGCGAGAATTAGACTAATCCAACATCCCTATTTTGAAGAACTTTTGTTACACTCTGGGATTTTCCACAAAGTTATAGGAAATATGGTAGTTTCCCACAAATTTCGTGGAAATTTTGAGGAAAAACCCTAATGTGCTATAAGATCCTAGGGAAGTATTGGCGAAAAACCTAAATTTCCCCAAACATTTTGGGGATTTTTCTCGGACCTGGGAGAATTTCGTGGGATTTGTGCCATCAGCCCAATACTTTCCTAAAGATGAAATTTTCCCCGAAATCGGGAGATTGGGTAAAAAACCTCAAATTTTTGAAGAAACCCTCCTCCAATGGGTGGATCTAGTTACGTCTGCATATGGGATGTGAAATTTCACCAACTCTCAAATGAAAATACAGTCAATTAATAAGCAAGGAGTTCACATGACAATTACATGCACAATTTGGCCAAATGACCTTGAGAATAAATACCCTCCTACTGTAACTCCAAACTTACAAATTCCAATGACTCAATAGTATACGTCATCACTATGGCTTAAGGTAGAAAGTTTTCAACTTCTTAATACCTCAATCTACTTAGGAAGTGAATAGTTTGATCCTTCAGTCTTCTAGGAAGTATAAGGCTAGTAAAGTACTATCTATGTTCACCATTAATATTCAAATGGTTCAAATGGTTGAGGACGGAATAGAAGAAGCTTTCGCTTAACGGGCTTCCGTGTCTAGTAGCAGTAGATCACCAATACCTCCAGGCAAAAACTTAGGTATATGAACGATAATAGAGGAAAAAGAGAATTTGGTAAATCATAATAATATGTTATCCTTGGTCCTTAAGAATAAGTCAAGTTTCCTCTTAAAGGACTCCTGAGAAGTCGCTTGGACTAGCTCAGTCGGCAGCGAATTCCAGCACTTGACAACTATAACGGAGTAGAAGTTGTGTCTGCAGTCTGTTCTGCTATGTAGGGTTTCCAATTTCTGGGTGTTACCTCTTAGGTTAATGTTATAACTAAGCTTAAGAAGATGTTTAAGGGGATGACCAGAAGTATTAAGGATACTGTAAGTCATAAGAAGGTCACCTCTAAGACGCCTGTTCTCTAACGGGTAAAAGGTTAAGTGATTGGAGGCGCTTTTCGTAAGGTTTGAATTTCAATCCCTTCATCTTCTGGTTTTCGGAAGAAAGAGGTTCCCAGCTATTCGGTCGAGTATCACATTAAATATTCGTGGGAAGTCAGCACATTATCTGAACCCAGTACTTCCCTTCAAATCTTAAGGTCATATCCGAATAGAAAAGTTTGATGGTCAAAAAAACAAAGTATGATGAGTAACTTAAGAATCGAGTCTTGTGGCCTTCCAAATATCACTGGGAACCAATCAGGTAGAGTAAAGTCATGTCTTACAGTTTACAATGAGCCACTTGGATAATCTAAGAGTCTCACCACCAAATACTTTGTACCCACAGAACTTGGTTTCTGACTAGGGAGTTCCTTAGATAAATTTAAGAGGCCAATAAAAACGGGTTGATTGTGTTACAGTAAGAAGGTTCGGCCATAATATTACTATACAAGATTCATCTGGGTGAAAATCAGAAACCATCGAATTGCTGAGCAAGTAGATATAAAGAGATTCAGCTTTGACTAAATCCATGAACCTCCGTACGACAAAGAGCAATGGTATTGATCGATGATGAAAGCTTTTACTTCGCCACTCCCAATGTTTTATGATTGCAGCTATGACTTTTCGCCACTCATATGATATCCTACCCTAGACCTAAAAATACTTTGATAGAATAGCAATTTTTATCTATATATTTGTGTCTAGCTTCCATATAAGTTGAGTTATGAAAGAGATGAGAGCAGGGTATTTGAAATAATCCGGAAGATTAACAAGAGGAAAAGTGAGATAAGGACCTAGTAGGTACATAGAATGCACATATATAACGAAGAAAGCAATAGATATTGATTAACGATGACAATACTGTATGATTGAAATAACCTTGTTAGTGAACCGTAAAGTTAATAACATCAGTTTTCCAATGCGTCACAGAACCTTAAACACAAACGTTTGTCGTAACAAAGAACATCCTGGGAGCCAACCGTCGACGTGCCAGCCCATCTATAATAGCGGATTCGGCCCCCATTATCCACAGTTCATTCCCTTCATTTTTGAACTATCCTTAGACAACAGGAATATTTCAATCGTTTTCATTAATATCCGTTTTTGAACAAATAGAATAAAATATATCCAAACTAAGTGCTCCTACACTTAGGGAAAAATCAGTTCTTCTATAATATGTTTTCAACAACTCCGGTCAAAAACTACTTAGTCACGCTAGTGCATTGAGTAACCATGATCAATATGAGAAGGGATTTATGGGCTAATCGACACTGCATTTACTTAGAACCAGGTGTATGATAGTGTTGCAATGTTTATTATCATTTATTATTACCTAAATATCCCCGGTCACCAAGAATATCATTTTACTTCAACCAAGTAGTCAAGTTTAACGTAATGAGCAAATATATTTTCCCATATTTACTAGATATATAAAAGTAATGTAGGTCTTCGGCGCAAATGTTTGTGCTTCATCTGCTCATTTCTGTCTGTCACTTATTATGCAGCAATGCAAATAATATATAAGCTCATTAACAGACCCACTCAGAGTGCAACCAAGCTCAAAGAATCATCTTCTCAATTTAAATTCATGATTTTCCTGACCGTTGCTGCCACCTTGACGTGGTGGTCGAGCTTGCCTATCGTGATGACCCAACCGAGCGATATTGGCTGGAATATATGTTCTTGTAGGTTCTACAGTGCCAGACCGGTCGATTGGAGAACGGTAAAACTAAAAGCAGCAACTCTAAGTCTGAGGGTGAAGTCGTACTGCTGACTGTAGAGGGATGTGACAACGGTCAGGTGTTTCCCTCGGACAACCAGCATAACAGCGATGCTGCCTTCCCACAACGAGAGGTGAGGTTAGAAAAGGTCTACCCTAAAAATGCACACCGCCTTATCCCACGGATTTCTGTCTCCGGTGGTAAGGTCCTTTGAAGAACGGAGCTAACACGTCAAAAAACCCCACAAAAAGGTCGTGTTTGACCGACCTCAAGCAGTTGTACCTTTCGCACTGCAGTCACACTCTGAAGTGACTCTCAAGACCAACTCTAACCGAATTTCCTTTTCAGGTACCTCTGGAAGAACCCTTCCACGGTGTGGGCAGGTGGGAAGTTATATTAGCCCTCATACCCCTATCTGTACACCAGACCAAGTTGGTCACATTCAAATCCCTCCTACACCTAATAACTCTATTATCTACACGACTAACCCTTCTCACATCCTTTTATCACCTCGCACCTCTAGGGCAAACGATTCGAGTACACGGAACGTTATTCCTGGTCTCCTGAAACCACGCTCTAAACTACATATAGGAACTTTTAACGTTCGAACATTGTGCCAAATAGGACAACAGACCTCCTTATCCATGACTTTGGAATCTCGCACCATCGATGTGTGCTGAGTCTCCGAAACGCGCATACAAGATCCGAGTAGTGTCATTCATTTGACCTCACCATATCAAAATAAAGATTCATCTCGATACACGCTTCGTGTATCTGGAAGCCCTGATGCTGTTTCCCGTGGCCTCGCTCGCGTAGTTATAGCATTGATTTCTAGGGCAGAACTAGCTCTTTTAGACTGGATCCCAGTAGACAGTCGCTTGTGCGTTGTCCGACTAAACGGATCAGTAAGGACTCGGAAAGATAGGGAAACTCGTCATTGCCTCTTCGTCGTCTCTGCTTTCTCTCCCACTGACTTCAGCTCAGATGACATAAAAGATGAGTTCTACAGGAAAATTTCAGACCTTCTCCGAAAAGCTAGGCGTTCTGATGTAGTAATAGTAGCAGTTGACTTTGATGCTCAAGTAGGTAAACTAAGTGAAGGGGAAAGACACCTGGGTGGATCTTATGGTGTCATGGCGAAAAGAACAGATAGTGGCGACCGTCTGTTGCAGCTGTGCTCAGATAACCGCCTATTTCTTGCAAATACTAACTTTAAGCATAAGGAAAAACATCTTTTGACATGGTGACCCCCGAATTCGTCACAACGTTGGACTCAACTAGATCGCATCGATATCAGCCACCGATGGAGGGGCTCGATAGAAGACTTTCGCTCATTCTAGAGCACATGCTTAGATTCAGATCATGCTCTAGTGCGATCACGTATCTGTCTGCGTCTTACTGGATGTAGGAAAGACACTGCAAAGAATCCTCTTAGGGTTCCACTTAATGATAGGCAAGCAAATAATATATTTCAGGAACAACTGGAAAAACAGTTAGGCAGCCATGTAAGTTGTGCCCACTCAGAGGCAGCATTGATATCCGCTAATACGGTAAACCATAAGGTTAGGGAGAAACAATGGATCTCGGCAGCATCTACCACACTGATAGATGCTCGTAAACTCATCCCACCTGGCTCTGAACATAACGAAGAGCGGAGTCAGCTTAAACGCAAGCTAATAAGAAGCCTACGCAATGATCGTGAACAGTGGTGTGTAGCGAAAGCAAGAGAGATGGAAAAGGCAGAGCAATAGGTTGAGCGTGTTGACCACTTCACTTATTTTGGGAATCTCATCAGCCCCTGGTGTGTGATGAAATATCAGCACGGATGCAGAAAGCTCCTCTAGTTTTCGCCAACCTGCGTCATTTATGGCGTAGGCAAGATATCCGTCTAGAAACCAAAGGATGGGTTTACTTTGCAGCAGTTCGTTCCGACCGACTTTATGGCAGTGAAACATGGCCGATCAGCGTAGAGGATATTCACAGACTACCAGTATATAGTATACTCTGAATGACATGGCTCAAAATCGTTTGCAGGTGCATCCACTCCTTGTGTTCTCCAGAATTATAATCTTCTGAATTCTTCATGTCTCTATCTTTTTCGTCTTTCCAAATTTATTTCACTGTATTATACTCCTGGGGTAACGTCTTCAAACCCTAATTTTTCCGAATACTGCTTATACTCTTACTACTACTACCACTATGGGATTTGAATCGACAACTGCATCTCTGTGCTAATGTGGTGTGGCAACTCGAACTGATGTATGTACGTACGAAGTTCTATGTTGTGACTGACTGACTGATATTCATGATTTGTCAGCTCATAAGAATCCATAAACTATATGAATCCCATTGACATTTCATATTTGACGTTTGATTTACCGTTTTATAATCTCTTTAGTTCGTAGCAAGGTATATTTCTTTAAACGTAAGACATCTTTTCTCTTCATCATCAGTTTGAGTCAGCCAAACACTTAGCACTGGTTATTCTCATTTCATGCATAGTTTGGTCTGGACACCAATCCACATCAATAGTTTTGCCAGGACGTCTTAGAGCAGCAGACATAATTTATTTCAATAAAACGTCATATACGTAGATGCAATGTCTCTTTAAAGGGACATTTACCCACTAGTTCACACAAATCTAGGAGCTGTTAAGGGCCGGCTAGATAAAAATTTCTCGAGATGGTTGACCTCA